TGGTTTTAACCAGGAAGTAACCTGTTTTAACCAGGAAGTAACCTGGTTTTGCGCATGCGCAGTGGGTTCAAAATCGCATGTGAAATGCAGGTGAAGCAAGCGTGCGCGCACTTCCGAACCAATAGGAAAGGTAAGTAGATTTCACCCCTGCTTTAAATGATATTTCTTTTAAAAATGCCAGAACAAACACCAAGTTACTCAAGTAAAGATTTACATGTGCATAAGAACCCTAGAAGAATTCTCAGCCTAGATATTACTACTAAATATTACTACTAAAATCAATTTTATGCTTCATAGTTTTATTTTGTTTTTTAGATTTATCTCCCAGTACTACAGCTAGTAAGACTACTACAGCTAGTAACTCCACCACAGTCACCAGCCCAACAGGTAACAATAAAAAATATCTGCATTGATGCAGACATATTGTTTTAATTTAATGCTTTCCAGTAATGAATCTGTAGTAAAATAAGTATTTGAAGAGACATGTTTTTTACTTACGTGCTTATGTGATTCTTGTGCTCAAGTAATTATGCTCAATTATATCAGTAATTTGATAAATCTATAGATCAAGCAAAATCTGCTTTGAGAGTGTGTGTTAGTATTGTTCAAGTAACAGTATAAAAATTATAAATATACAGCAATTCATAAATCACTATTTCTAAGCATTTCTTCTAAACAAAAAATTCAGTTTCTATATTTCCATTCTCTTTTCATGAGTAATTTCTTGTATAACTGGTAAAATTTTAAATGTGCCTGCATTTACAGTATTGTTACTTGACTGCTTTTAGAAATTCTCCTTGGTTGAAACTACATAGTTATAATATTGAATGTAGGCATTTCAACCCAATTAATTTGCACAGCAACAAAGAGATCTAGTTGTGCTGAAATGCATAATAGTTACAGAAGTAACTCATGAGTTGATATTTGTCTATTTGATCAAGAAAATGCAAAAAGACACAAGAAAAAGATATATATTTTCTTCTCCAAAATCCTCACTGCCTAAATATATAAAAACAACTGCGCAGGCTATATCCTCCTTTTCCTGATCTCTTTCCTCCACTAATCTCAATAACAATACAAGAGTCTTGTTTTACATTCTTGTTCTTGGCAGTCTCCAATTGAAGATCAACATTTTTGTGGGTTTCCATTTATGATATTGCCCTCTTTTATATTTGATTCTTAAATTGTGTTCAGTATATCATTCATTGATATTTTTATAATTTTCATAGTCCTTCAAAATATATGTGGTCATGTTCAATGATCTGAATCACAAATAGGATTGTAAGTATACATATACATTCATATTTCAAGGCAAATAAAATGGTATAAACTGTTTCTTTATAACAGGTAGTACAATTAACTCAACTTCGACAGGAAAACCTATTCTGAATAGTACAACCATTGCCACTACTGTTATTACTGCTAAAACAGGTAAAATTTAATTTTAACAGGCATTCATAATGAACTCTGTTGTCTTGAGGAAAGTTACTTGTAAGACGTTCTTGTCTTGGGTGAATAAGAAAAAGCAAAAGGCAAGTGAACTATGGATTAAATAAAATAGTATGTGTCTATTGTCAGACACTGGAAAACAAGAGTCAAATTGTGTAATAATGTTCCCTTCCAGGGAGGTAAGGGACCATCTACAAAACATCTGAATCATAAAGCAAGTGTCTTTTGTCACTTCATAAGCTTTTCTTTGTGAAGCAGTAGTTTGTTTGTTTGTTTGTTTGTTTGTTTGTTTGTTTGTTTGTTTGTTTATTTATTTAGATTTATATGCCGCCCTTCTCCGGAGACTCAGGGCGGCTTACAATGCGTTAAGTAATTAGTTGTGCTTAGCTTTAATGATTCCAAGAGAGATACATTGCAAAGTGGGGAGGGAATCAGCAATTAATTTCCACATCATATAACACTTTTAAATCATTCTTTGAGAGTTTGCAAGATAATTAAATCTTATAAGATTTGCATTTATTTTTTTTTTAATCATGTATCTGTGGTCTCTATGGCATCCTCACACAGGATGTAAATAATCTGAACAGGTTTAAACAGCAATTGACCTCGCCTGCTTGTAGCATCTAATCTAGAAAAGGACTTGAAGAGTGTATTCAAATTCTGTTTCATAGAGACAGAACTGTAGAACTGATTTTAGATGATAAAAAATAATACATAGAAAATATAATTCAGGAGCAAATCACTAATAATTATAATCCTCTTATTTGACAGGTACATCAGCTCTAATACCAACTACCAAGCCATCACATCATAAAGCAAGTTTTGATGCAGCCAGTTTCATTGGTGGTATTGTACTTGTGCTGGGTCTGCAAGCAGTTATCTTCTTTCTGTATAAATTTTGCAAGTCCAAAGAACAAAACTATCACACACTCTAGGAAAATGTTGCTTTTTAAGTGGACTTAGATTAGCTCAATATTTATGGTTAGCTACACCAAAAGATGCTTATTCTTTATGGAATACAGCAGTTCAAGATATTATTTTTCAAGACTTAAAAAAAATAGGTCTGCAACGTGCTTGGAATAAGGTTGTGTGAATCATGTCTTGCTGAACAGAAATATTTGCAATATTCTGCATGAACCCTTATTTGCTGTTTTAAATTTTTAGTAGCTGCTACTATAGAATCTATTCTTTTATTTGATATGCCAAATATAGTTGTTGATAGTTATTGCATTTAGTGGCAGCAATGTCCTTGGTAGGTAAATTTACGATTACAGTGATTTAATTAGGTTTAGATACAATATCCCTATGCATCATTATTAAAAATAGATTACTGTTAATTTGACATAAAAAGTACCTATGAAAATTACGGTTTTTTTATCTGTTCAGCTTGGAAATTGGAAGAGATTTGTAGGATGTTTTTAGGATATTTTTTTCTTAACAAATATGAATGCCCATATTTTTCCATATTATATGATGTTACAAGGGTGATTGTTTTCTATTGTAAGTGTAAGCATCTATAGGAAGAATGATGATCAAAAGATATAAGTTCCCCTATGCGTAAGGAAGAAGGACCAGTGCCTTAATTAGCAGATTGCAAATTGAAGTGTTGTGCCATCTTATATTTTGAGGTTCAGTGAAGAATGTCATTTTATTTGCACCAAGTTTTCTCCATTAGACATATGAAACCTCAGCACTATATGCTAACATTGTTAACTGTTTTCATATGTGTTAATACAATGTATTGGATCTATATTTTTGAGGAATTAGATCCTTTGAGGAAAATAGATTCGGTACGCTACATGTGATGAATTTATCCAACTGATTTTTGTGGGTCTATTAAATGTGGCAAAGTATGGATTCAATCTGCTGTATCCAGGCTTTGTTTACTGTTTCTAAAGCCATTTGTCCGTAGCCTTCAAATTACCTGCCTTAGAAAATGCTACACTTTTCATATGAGGATAATAATTTTAGCAAACAATTTGTGCTCACAATATTATGGATATTTTAAAGGTACTGTAGTCCTGCATGGATCTTGGAATATTTTATTCCCACATAGCAATATCCTACCTGTAGGTCTCATAATACAGCAAATTGTGTGATAGAACAATTGTGATAGAAACAAACTTGATTGAACACTTGAACTAAGTTATTTTATTTTGATTATTCTCTTAATAGCTTCTTAATGTTTGTTTTGCAAGTCATTTGATAAATACAATTGAAATAATCAAAACTCAGTTTATAGGGTTAAGTGCTTCTGCTGGATGAGCTCCAGTCAAAGAGGAACTGCAGTGGTTGATATTATGCTGGTGACAAAATTGACTCTGTGGATTTATTGTTAAAAATGTTAACATCATTCTAATTTCCTTAATCCTTCCAGTTTGAGTAAAATTCACTTCAATATTAGTCAGAAAGTCAATTCATAAAATATATTTAGTAGAGAGTACTGTAATTTTAAAGAATCTTCCAACAACTGCACTCCTAAAAGACAATAGCTCAGGTGAATAAGACAGTTGAACTGGCTACTCCATTCAGATATTTCCAAAATAGGTGATGTGTATTTAATGGCCTTGTGGTAGTCATTTTACTCATCTTCCCATGATCTTTATAAATTTAAGTTAAGCTGAAAATTTAAACACAACACTAATGAAATTCTAAAGAATGATGGTTTAAAAATGCACTCTTAATATTAGATTAACGTATTCTTCAAAGTAAGATTAAAAAGCTATTTACTTTTTGCTTCCATGCTTATTCTTGAATGTTAATATTTACCTTGTAAATTTAAAGGGAGAAATGTTTCAAAACTGACAGTGCAGTATGCACTTCCAAAATCAAAATGTGAGATGATTTTGTTACTGAGCCAAGAATACCTGTCAAAGACATTAAAACATGTATTCCTAAATATAGTGAACCCTCTTTCAAGTGCCTTAAATTTTCTTAATGTTGGCCTCATGTCAGGGAAAGAAACTTTAATCAATATATCTGCCCCTTAGTGTCAGCAATTACTCTTTTCCAATGATTTTAGAAAATTCAGGTATTAGTATTACCTTTCAGGAAATCTATATTTTCTATTTACCCATAAAACTATATGTTTAGTTACTAGGGCATTGCTAACAATTTCATGCAGTGGCAGTAGATTTTATTTTCTAAACCAACTTCATTTGTAATCTACCAAACTACAGCAGACACATTAAGGGGCTTCCCAGTTATTCACATATTAAATTCTTTACCATCTAGATTTAGATAGATAGATAAAACTTTGTTTTCGGTATAATGCCATTACTTATGAATTAATATGAATAGATTTTTATCACTTTGCTGGTCATTTGAAATTCAGCATATTGTTTGTTTTTTAAGCAATTGCCTGTATAGAATAACTGATCACGTGGACCTTAATTCTTTAGATAGTAAATTGTGATTTTCATTCTTTATCTGGATTGTTCTTAGAACTCTCATATGCAAATGTACTGCATAGGGAATGGAATGTTATAGATATTATGTACTGCATATGTGGTGTTGTCATTGGAAGAAATGCAAATTATTTACAACCGTAATACGAAAATAATAAATCATTTATTAAAATGCTTTTTTTGTCCAAGTAAGTTACTTAGAACTAGACTACATAAACAACCTAATAAACATTACATTGACAACATGTAATAGTGCTATGTACTTTTATAAGGCATTTGTAATTTAGGGGACCCAAGAGATCATTTGTTTAAGAAATATCAAACTACAGTTTTATACAATGCATGTGCATTATATACAGGTAGTCCTCGACTTACAATAGTTCCTTTAGTGACCGTTCGAAGTTACAACAGCACTGAAAAAAGGGACTTGTGACCATTGTAGCATCCTCATGATCACATTTACATTCAGATGCTTAACAATTGACTCACATTTATGACTGTTGCAGTGTCCCGGAGTCATGTGATCCCCTTTTGCAACCTGACAAGAAACGTCAATGAGGAAATTAGATTCACTTAATAACCATGTTACTAATTTAAGAACTACAGTGATTCATTTAATAAATGTGGTGAGAAAAGTTGTAAAATGGGGCAAAACCCACTTAAATTTCTCTCTTAACATAAATTTTGGGCTCAATTGTAGCCGTACGTTGAGGACTACCTGTACAATGACAATATGTAACTTTCAAAAGAACAACAATGAAATTTCAATATGGCATGACAAAGCCAAAATCTTTTATTCTCATATTATTACTCAAAAGCATTGAAGAAAATATGGTAGGAAAAGTTTTATTAACAATTACTGACAGCAACTATATGCACAGTAATGTTTTCAGTCTTGGTCAATGACAAATCTAGTAGCAGTTTATTTTTGAGATGTGTTTCACTCTTGTTGCACAGGAAAAGTAGAATGTGAAGTTTGGGTAAGATCTGGCAATAGAACGTCTACTATTCTTTTTCTCCATCCTGAAGGTACCTGGAAAGACAAAGTTCATTATGCACTCTGAATAGCTAACATTTCAAAGATTTGGGAATGGCTATTTTTTGTAGCGGCATAATCTGGGGAAGCAGAGCAGAGGAAAACCCCACTGCATATCTGAGGTGTATACACATGCAAGAATAACCATTGTTATTCTTTCATAGTGAAATTCTTTTAAAAAATAGCATTCAAATTAATAAACTTGTTGCTCTCGACTGGATAACTTTACTTGTTGTCTGATGTTTTCATTAACTTTTCACTACTCACTGTTTTTGGTCTAGGAATCTTCTCTAACTTGGTTTTGGCTGTCAAAAGATTCTGAGTGGAATCCTTGGTTAATATGAATGTTGGCAATTCTGCATTCTGACTGCATGAAGAAGAACCTGAAATATAAATGCAGTATATAATATAATGTTATATAGTTGTCCATCCAAAAACAAACCTCTCCTCCTCCCCCTCCCGGCAAAAAAGTCAATGATAGCTTCTTACCTTCTGTTAGGCAAATCCCTATAAAATATAACAAAAACGCAAAATACTTTCTCACACTGGGCATAGGGATAGCATCGCATACGAAAAAAAGGTGATTTTTTTCCCCCAGGCAAATCTATAACTTTTTTTTTATTTGCATAGCCTTCTTAATAGCAATTTGCCTGACAATTGTAGAGGGCAACTGAGTGAGATTGCAGAAAAGAGACGTAGTTCACATCTGTTCTCGTCAGTGAGACTAGTCAACTAAAAAGCCTACAGCCATCGTTCTGATAGATACTAGAAGCAGATGTGTTTATTTTCAAGGTTGGAACCAATCCCTTTTTCTCCCCCTTTGAAAGTCACTGTACTGCAGGGATGTCAAACTCATGTTGTCACGTTGTTGTCATGTGACTTATTGGGACTTTTTTCCCCTTCACTAAACTCGGGGTGGGCATGCCAGCACATGACACATCCGGCCTGCAGGCCATGAGAGTTTGACACACCTGCTATAGTGTGATAGCACCTATTACGGTTGGTTTGAAATGAGAATCTACCACCTGTTTTGGACAATCTTTGCATGTTCTGCTCTACTGTTACTGTTAAATGGTAATGTTACAGCCTCTCCCCAGTTGAACAGATACTGCATTTGGGCTCTAAATAATTTCCAAGCACCTCTTCTAGGTCACATCGAAGCGATTGCATATCATTTCTTGAAAATACATCATTTACAAACATCCTGTGGTTTTCAGCATTTTTGGAGGTGTTTTAAACTCATTAATCTCTGTCAAAAGCTCAGAGTACTTCCAAAATAATCTGTCAGTTTCATTTGATGCAAGACATTTTGTGAAATTTTGTACTTTAAAAATTCCATTTGGTGTACCTCTACTTCTAACAATGTAAACAAAGCACAAAATGCAATGAGGTCATTACAGAAGACCAGCAGTACATTCTAGGCTTTGATTAATTTGTACAGTTAATCTTAGAGCTTGGAACAATTTCTGGAATATTGGTGTGCACAGGTACACAATGCTACATTGTATTCTTTGTTAATATATCCCATTCACAGCTCTACATAGAAAAGATGCTTATTCATTAGAATGTTTCCATTGCTGGTGTGGATGACAATTGAAGTGTGTGAATGAACTTTAAAGCAATCTGAACAGAATGCATTTGAAATCTTGGCAATATTCTGAATATTTTTTCTCCAATTTCCAGGCCCAGGGCATTCTTGATAGTATCCCATACCATTAGCTTTTTTGACATTAGTCCAAGTTAGCTAGGTTATCCTTTAAATTACATTCTTACCAGGATGTAGTTGTTGTTGTCAGAGCAATCTAGTAGTTTTAACTAGAGAGATTAAAAAACATCCTGGATGATGACAGGCACAAACCACTTTAATACTTTTGCCTCTTGGTCTACTGTCATCATAACACAGTCATATATCCATGTAATCTCCAGAAGTCAAGCTCAACTCAGGGCATTGTAAACATTACGATGGCAATGATATAGTAATAAATTCTCACTGTTTATAAAAACATACCATTCATGAACTTTATTTGTTTTTATATACTAATAACTACTTGGTATAGGGAGCCTACAGGTTTACATATTTTTCCTTACAGCTTTCCAAGATAGTACGCTAAAGTTAAAATGAGAAATGATGTTGATAGCTTAGTTCTTACCTGGAAAGTAGTAATGTTTGCTTTTAGTAATGTGTGAAAGATTAGCAGACCACCTTGCAACTGAAAGCAAGAACATAAATAAGATGAATTGAAAAATAAACTATGAAAAATAAAAATAAAGTATCAAAACGTCTACATTTTTAACAGATCTGGATGCATCACTTTTTGTTAGACTTGTATTTTGTTTTCAGAAGCTCAGGAAGTCATGTTTAGATTATGATTAATCAGATTTCAAATTTAGTTAACATTAAAATGGAGTCCTCCGACTGTTTTTGATGCTGTATGCAATACTACTATATATCTAAATAAGTGGATATAATTAAATTCTCACATCATACTCAACTGCTCATACTATCTTAGCTTTTCTTACAACTCAATAACAGTATTTCCGAATAGAGATATGCTATAATGCAGCTGCTGTTTTATCAGTATGATATTGTCAAGCACTGGAGTCCTAACTTTAAGCATTTGTGCATGTAAACAGAACCAAGAGTTCATCCAGGCTTCAGCAAGTAAATCCCCTGTAATGGTTTTTTAAAACGTTTCTTCCCAGTTGTACAAGAAGATAATAGTTGTGTTATTTGAGCAATTAAGAACTGGTACAAAGAAGGTGTTCACAGAGATGATTCCTATATGGCGTGGATTTAGGTAATGCTTCATTACTGATGGAGGTTTAATTAGTTATATGATGCAGGTTTAAATGCATGCATGTGTTTCATGGATCAAATTACCTGGATCTATATTTTGAAGTATTTATTTATAATTATGTAAAAGATTTTATGGTTCCTGTCAGAAGATAATTCTGGGTGACTCACAACAAAACTAAAAAAACATTAAAAGCATAAACATCCCATGCATGAAACATCCTCCTAGGATGCTCCTATAACCATCTGCAAGCTCCCGTCACTATCCCAGCACCTGAGCACACAATAAGGTTAGGGTTGATGGCCCTTTGGAAGGCTAAAAGGGTGGGTGGCTCCCAGATTGCCAGATGTTCCACAAGATAGGGAAGACACTAGATAGCAAGTGGAAGATGTTCTACAGAAAAGACACTAGATAGCAACATTTCAGAGAGAGGACCTGGAGTATACCTACCCCTTCAATATGGTGGAACAGACAGATATCTCAGTGAGAGGCACTCCCATTGATAAAAAGAATATCTGTAGTTCACCGTTTGAACTGTGGGATCCTTGGTGCTTGGAGCCTTTTTTTTTTTTTTTTTTGCAGATGTTTCTTTACCACTGATGGATAATGCAGGAATGATGTTACTTAGCTGGGTAATGAGATGTTGGCAAGAAAACAACTAAGCTCAGAGAGCACCACATATTCCCATGGCATGTAAGGTTTTATGGTGATAAACAGCACCTTCTACTGTACCCAGAAGGAAAATGGGAGCCAAAATGTGACTCATACAACAGGGCTATAACATGGGCAAACTTGGGAGTGCCCAACACTGCATGTACTGCATCCGAAAACAGTTGTAGCTTTTGGGTAGTGCTCAAGGGCAGCCCCATGTACAGTGTATACTTACTCTGGTACTCCAAAGAGGAGTTGACTATAAGCACAGCCTCCTAGTCCAGAAAAGTTCACAATTGTTGGAACAACAACAATTGATCTAGGTACTGCTGCTGCCACCTATTCCATAAGTAGGAGTAGAGAATCCACAAGAACCTCAAATTACAAGCTCGGTTTGAGGAGTACAACCCTGTCTGGAATTAAATGACACATCACCAAATCCTGGGAGGCTGTTGATACATCACGCCAAGCTACATAGGCAATGCTGTTGCAGTGCTGTTTGTTTGGAGATTGTGGGGAACTGGATGGGCTGGAACCGATTTTGACTCATCCTGGCAATGGCAAAATAATGGCTCCTGCTCCCAATCCCCAAAGGCAATCTAGAAAGATACAATTGTATTAGAAGCCATTTACAGTTCTAGGACAGTGAGGATGGTTGCACCACTCCTGTCCCAAGCCCATCAAAAGTCAACAGAACCATGAGACTTCCGGTTGACGTCGCAGTGGGAACGGACTGGAAAATAGCAGGCTCTGATGAGCCGCACAAAACCCAGCCAGATGAACTGCTGCCGGGAGGCTTTCGAGCCATAGCCGTCTTGCAGGGATGGTGAAGAAATGAGGCGTTTCGTGGATCGCAAGGAATTGGCAATTTCCTCGTTGGAACAGAAACAGCTCTCCTGAAGCCGGGACGGCAGCCATCGTATGGTGGCCACCTAGAAGCTGGGACAACCGGACCTAAGAATTGAGCTGGAGCGGCGTTTGGACAGAGTGTTAGAACTGGGTGAGATAATTGCCAATTTATACTGAGAAAAAATTGAAATTGGAGTCTTAAAAGAAATTCCTGAGCTTGGACTAGCGGCTATCTGGCATTTGGGGGGGGACACACACGCGGAAAAAAGAAAAAGTGGGGGACTGTAATACAAAAAGCCTAAGAAAGAGTTTTAGATCTGGAGAATTGGGAAAAGCAAAATATTTCAAAAGGGGAAAAAAGTGATTTTCAGAAAAAAAAAAAACAACTTAGATGAGGATTTTAAAAATTTCTGGATATTTTGATAATTAATTGGACTTAACAGACTATTTTGTAATGGAATAGAAATGGAGAGTAGCATCTGCTGGAGGGAAAAATAAGTACTGTAATAGTCTACTTAAATAGACAAAACAGAAGAAATGGCAGCTGGAAGACTCGATCTTGGCCATATAGAAGATAATTTGGACACTGAGAACATTTAAGGAGTGACTGTATTTTACATCTGAGATTTTGTTTCATTTCCTTCTCTCCTGGAAGATAGCCTTTTAATTGGATTTGATGTTGCTGAATTTGGACAATTAATAATTGAGATCATTTTAAATTTGAAGAACGAATAATCGAAGAAAAAGAAGAAGAGATATAAGAAAATTAAATAAACTTTAAATTTTGGCTAACTGAAAAGAGATACAATTGGGGAGGTTTTAATAATTTTATATTGCTACAAAACAGAGTTGCAGATATATGAAGAGTTAATTTTGATGTTTAAAAGTATATGTGAATCTTTATTAGGCAAAAAAGAAATAGAAAATTAACAAAGTTATAGAAAAAAAAGTGAAGAGTTTGGAGAGGGAATTATAAACGAGAAGCAAGAAGTTAACAGTGTTGAAGAGAAAATATTAAAAAATAAAAATCAGATAGATAATATTATAGAAATTTTTGGGAATGTAAAAAGAGTAGAGAGGAAAAAGGGAAAATTCCCCCTAAAAAAGAAACAGTTAAAAGGGAAAAAGGGAAATACCTGGGAAAGACAAGGGAAAGTCTTGGTGAAGGATGCTCAAAAAGTACAACCAAAAAGATAAAAGGAATCCAGAAGATGAAATGTAACATATATAAAAAGAAAAAAAAGAATTGAGTGAGAAAAAGGGTTGATCAAAAAACTATTAGAAAATGGGAAAAGATTGAGAGATGATGGTTAAAGGTGAATGATTATGGGGTAAATATTAGTAAATATTAATGTAGATTAATGAATGGGAATGGGAAAGTAGACAATATAACAATAATAGCAATTTTGATAGTCTTGAATTTAAATTGTTATTGTATTGGTAAGAGAGAAGAATTATAGGATATACTGTGATGTTATTTAGGTGAAAGCATTGAATATGAAATGATAAAGAAGTATGTAAAGAGAATAATATGGCAGAAGTTGAAATAAGATATGGTGAAAATTGACTAAACAAATTCTGAATAGAATTTGTTTATATTAAATCTCAGCAGATAGAAATGTGAAAATAAGTAATTTAATAACATTAATTTTGATAACAATGTAAATTAAGATGAATATTTAAAATGTCAATTGTAAAGAGAATAACAATGTTGAAATCATGAAAGCAATTATTGTAAAGAAGAATGAATAGAACTTGTTTGTGATAAATCTCAGCAGATGGAAATGTGAAAATAAGTACTTTAACAACATTATTAATTTTGATAATATAAATTAAGATGAATACTCAAATACTAATGATTGGGAAAAAGGAATTAGAGACATACTTCAGAAATGAAGAAAGATAGTAAATAACTGGAATAATTGAAACTGAGGAGAAATATAAGGTATAAAATGATCTTATCTATAAGTAAAATTGAAAATGATAAAGAATTATGGAAAGAGAACAACACAGCAGAAGTTGAAATAATAAGATATGGTGAAAAATGACTAATTTGTGATAAAGGATTATACAAAAGAGATGAATATTGAAAAAAATGGGAAGATTAAAATACATTATAACTATGATTATATATAAGATGTGACCCGGTCATGTTCATAAAATATGTATGATGAAAGAAAAAAATTAATAAAACTTGTATAAAAAAAAAGTCAACAGAACCATAACCAATATCTTTTCTAGTCTAAACCCAAACTGAAAAGGTCCATATAAATCACTTCCCCCAGGGCCCTCTGAAACTGAGTTGCAACCACCCTCCCAACCACCTTCACTAAAAACATCTGGATGAATATTGTCTAACATGATTGGTCCAAGTATGGGGCACATCTGTGCCTCCTTCAAGGCAGATTGTGCCAACCCCTCCCACATGTATTAACCACCATTTGGAACCAAACATATGGCACTTCTGAGGACACCTTAAATCAGCCAAAAGGGGCATAGATCCAGACCACAGGTGGCTGAGTTCACAACCATGGAAACCCTGTTCACTTCTTTAGGATCAACCAGCTCAAGTTCCTCCCAGATTACAGGACTCAAATGTGTCTTGGTTATTTCCAAAGGATCTGCCCAATCAGAGTCCAACTCTGAGCAAAGTTGAACAACTCACAGCAGTCTTGAAAGGGCTTCCCAGCTCCTCCTTACCCCAAAGGGACCTGATTACCTGAAATAGGGCCAATAGGTAGTTAACTGTAGATGCAGTAAGGGCAGAGAAGTATGCTTTGCTGCCCTTATCACAATATAAATCCTGATATATTTTCAGTCCTGAGCTACTGTGTTTCCCCGAAAATAAGACAGGGTCTTATTTTCTTTTGACCACCCCCCCAAAGGGCTTGGCCTTATTATCAGGGGGCTTATTTTGGGGGTGCAAGGGCCGGCGAGCGTGGGACTGGATGTCCCATCGCTGCCATCACCTCCCCTCCCTGTTCTTCACGCTGGCCAAGCGGCCCAACATGTCCCACCCCACCCCAATGGCAACAGTTGCTTCCCTTCCCCGCTATCTCTTTATCGAGAAGGGTGGCAGGTGGGGCGGAGGAAAAGCAAGACACATGGAACGAGACGTTCCCCTTGCCATCTCTTTGCCTTCCCCCTCACCAGGCATGACGGGGCTCCTGCCCCTAGCTTAGCCACCCGCCCCCTTTAGGGATGCAATTGGGGTGGCAGGTGGGGCGGGTGAGAAGCGGGACATGCGTCTTGCCTTTCCAGCTCCGTTGCATTTCTTGCCGTTGTGTCCAGGGAAACGCGCTGTAAAAGAAAACCTTGCAAGTTCAATCAAACTTCTTTAAGTTTTCTTTTACAGTGTGTTTCCCTAGACACAACGGCGAGGAAAGCGATGGAGCTTGAAAGGTAAGACCTGCGTCCCACTTCTCGCCCACCCCACTTGTCACCCCCAAATTGCATCCCTAAAGGCGGCGGGACCAACTGTGCATGCGTGTAAGTAGTTGGTAGGAGGGCTTATTCTGCGGGGGTGGCTTATCGCATGTGCTGAAAAGCCCGATTGGGTTTATCTGGACATGTCTTATTTTCGGGAAAACACAGTACAAATTACAAATTATTGACTGAAAATAATACAAAAAAACTACTGCAACAGAAAGGAAATTGGGATGCCTAGTTAATAGAAAAGAAAAAGATTCTGCTATTTCAGCACATATATCAAATGTGAACTGACTGAGGGCTATAAGAAGTGTCTGGTTTTCAGCAGCAGTGTGTTAACATACTGACTTTGGATAATGGATAGCTCTCATACTGAAGCTATTCAATAAATATTTTCAAGGTCCGTTTTAGATTAATTTCAACAATAAAGGACATTAGCATTAGTTAGCAAAACCAAGAGTGAGAGAATCTCCTCCTCTCACCTTTTCATTCAAAATTGATGGTTCTGAGGATGATATGGTAATTTCTTTGAATTGTATCCTATGCCATTGTTACTATTTTTCTCTATGGCTTTTGGCTCACTGAAATTAATTGGTGAGTAGATCTGAGTATGTTGGCAAATGAGACATACTGACATAATTCTTAGTCAAAGGCCTGATTTTATTTAATTGCTTTCACCTTCCCTGCCTTTCCAAGGCCACAGATTCTTACTTCTGATTTTGTTTTTGTTTGGAATAATAGCCGTGCAATGGAACTAAAATATAATTGCAACCAATTATCTTTCAAACTACATTTATACCTGCAGGGGAACATTTCTGGGAAATTGCAGCTTCTGAGTCATAACGTTGACACTGCAGCTCATGTATCTTTTGGAAAGCATTCAGTTTTAAATTGCGTTCCTGGGTCAGCTGGCTTCTTATCTAAAATAGGTATATATATATATACATGTTTATAAATAATCCCAAATTCATATTATGATCCATACTTAAAACACTGAGTGCATAAAGGAAAGGAAATGCTTTTAACCTTAGTTCAATTAATATTGACAGCTGAACCAGAAGGGATTAAATTTAGCATGAAACAGCCATAGGACTGTTTGAGAACAAAGCAATTCCATGTGGTCAAATGAAGCTTATGATGGTATTAATTGTACTTTCCTGCTTCCAAGACAGAGCTACATGCGAGAGAGCCTTGTGAAAACAAGACTTTGTTTCCTTTTTATTTTTCACCCTCTCCCCAGTGGCTGTTCAACCACAGAGGCAGAAAGGGATTGATAGTAAATTAGGCTCCCTAGGACTACCCATGATGGAGCCAATGCTAATCACGCTCCTGGAATTTTGTTTTTTTATTTTTTTCTGGCAGAAGAAAGCAACAGTAATACGAAGTGACAATCTTCCAGACTTCCCTGTGCCAGTTTGGAAAGACTCAGAAAATGAATAAAAATTAACCACAACTGTGCTCAACTACTACAAACAGCCAAATTAATTGCCCTATAGCAAGGATGGCATATATATTCCGTATCAATTATACTAGCATCAGAACAAGCCTAGCAATTTAGAACAGATGACTACAGAAAATCAAAAAACCATAGGGCAGCAATAAAATATATTAGCTACAAAATAATGGTGCTCTTATTCTGCCAGGCAAAAAGAGATCTGAAGGTAAGTGGAAGCCAAAGGTGGAAGCCGTTTTGCATGGGTCTACTCTAGTGGTTAAGGCATCAAGCCAGGAACCAGTAAATAAGTTCTTCTCCCACCTTAGGCATGAAAAACCAGCTGGATGATTGGGTCAGTCACTTTCTCTCTCTCTGCCCAACTCACCTCACGAGGTTGTTGCAGGAAAAATAGGAGAAAGGAGGAGTATTAAGTATGTTTGCTGCCTTGATTTTTTTTTTATAAAAATGATAAAGGTGCAACAAAAAATGTAAAAAAAATCTGAATCAACTTTGTCTATTACTGCATTTTAAAATTCAGATATACATTCTGGTGCATGACTTTGTTTTTACTCATGTTGGCAAGAAGATTTCAAAGCATGTACAAAAATACATCCTTTGGTAACTCACTAAAATATTTATAACCTTACTTGTTGAATTTCTTTCTTCATCTTTGCTTCCTGGAAATGTCTTGTTTTAGAGGATTTTTCCGATTCTTCTGTCAGGTTCAATAACTTCACTTCTCTCTCCCCAAGGTTTTCTAACATTTTGTCCAAGTTTGCTGTCTTAATCAAATCTAATTGCTGTCTTTTACAAAATTCTTGATTAATCTTACGTTCTGCTTCCTGAAGTAAGTATTCCTATATGAAAATATTAACAAGATTAGTATAATACTGTGTTTAATCTCAGGAGAAAAGAAACTGAATTAAATAAATTTATTAATATAGACTAAACTATATACAGAGACAATATTTTTATCAAAATATATGTTTTGCAATGCTGCATAGAATATTCAAATAAAAAAGTGATTAAAATTGACTGCAGGAAGCAAAAATTATTTCATTCCATCTTTAAAAAATAGCAAGAAATTAAATTTTTCATTTTTATAATCTTTAGGAGTAAAATGTAAAGTAATTTGTCTCACACATATCATTCTATTACAACAGCCATTTAGATTTAGATTTTAATGTCAGATTGCTTTCCAGAGACTTGGCTTGTTTTTAATGAGAGGCACTCTAGGAATTAAAATACATCTGGATAAGAAAAATACCTTGTCTGACAATATTTTGCTTTGAATAATTTATGTAATATATGTCCTTTAAAACTTGCATATTGCTGTAAGAAATGATTTGTTTCCTTAAAAAGTGAATCCTGAGTGATATTACTCTATAATGTCACATTAACAAACAAAATTTTAGATGGGAGTACTTCCCATGTCTCTTTTTCTAAGATTCTTGGAGCTGGTCCCATTTTGAATGGGACCTTATAGTTAGCACTTAAAATAATCTTGAAGTCCAGTATTATTGTGCTGGTCTATATACTGTATTTTTGTTATTAAATAAATTTCTATACATTTATAAATATAAATTCTATAATTTATTTATAATTTCTATAAATAAATAAATAAAAATACAGCATCCTTCACTTAATCCTCCAGGGAAAGATTAAAGGCAAATGAGGTCCAGGCAGAAGAAAAACTTCATGGCTTCAAAACCTAAGGGACCGGTTTGGACAAATCTCATCAGCACTTTTTCATGTGGCTGTTGACAAAAATAGGATTGCCAACATGATCCCCAATGTCCAACGATGGATGTGTCACAAGAAGAAGAAGAAATAAATTTCTATAATCAGTATCTAAATTTATAAAAATTGTATACTTTAATATTCTGGGTATAAATAAACTGGATTTAAGTCAACTGTAAGGCCAAATATGAAGTTCCAAAGGATATAGGAAAATAAATAGGTTTTATACACTATCCAGAAGTTATTAAATTAGACTCTTATCCCCAGCATAATACCCATTTTAATTATTAAGAGCATTTCTAAATGTATCATCCAGATGATTACTAAGAGATAGAAAAAATATTTTTACATTTTGAAGAGTTAATGTGAAAATATATTTTGATTCAAGAGTGATAGATATTTGCAAGCAATGCTTATGTTGATTCCATTTGTACGTTTTAAACAGATTGAAGTGAATTAATGGTTACATTTTGGTAGGAGGAAGAAATACACAGATTCTTGTTAAAGTTTTATAAGAAAAATGAAATACGGAAACACATAGTTTAAAAATGAGGGTGATGTTATTGAATTCAGTAAAAATAATAAAAGAAGAGGATTTTGTTGGCTACATGGTATATGATGAGCTTAGGCAGATACCTGTTTCTCTAGTTGTTGCTTCAGCTTTTTATTTTCAGTCTGAGATTCTGCCAAGACTTTCCTTATAGCTCTCAACTGATGATTAAATAAAATGGCCTCTTCTTCCGACTTCATCTGGGATTGCAAGCACTCTTTTTTATTCTGAACAGCCTCCTGCAAAGGCAAAGGATTCAGCAAGATCTAAGATAGAGAATCAACTCTCAGAGAGGCTGAATTATTTATAAGGTTGTTAACTTTGTCTCCTTCATGATATGTTTAACTTTGTCTCCTTTTCGATGTGTGAAGAGGTCCCCATGTTTTTTTTTGTCTACTGTAGATCTTTTAAAGCTTAATACCAAACAAACATCAAAAAATCTCTACTTCTTTCAATTCTGACTCTTAATTTTCACAACATCAGTGCTGCCTACACTGCTGCTTTATTTCACCTCTTCTGAAATAAAAAGTATTAGCCCCAACCATTCAATGTGGCCTTCCTCTAGTTTAAATAATCATGTCCACAGCCATCTTAAACTGGCAGAACATCTCTTAATGTGAGAGAAGTTATTCTTTCTACAACTACAGTTAAATAGACTGTTTAGATTTATGAGACTATGGTGAACTAAGCACTCAGTTGCTTGTGGACGATTGATTGATATTGCAGGTCTCATTTGCCAACTCAAGGCACCATACTATTTTTCTGTACAACAAGCCCATGAGGCACCTTAAAGTACTTTTGGGGACAGTGGTGGCTGATTTCACTCCATAGGAGCTCTTCTCTTTTTCCCCATCACCCACCTGTCAGCTGCCTGCAGCTGGATGCTTGGCAATAGATAATTTTCCACTCCTGGTGTAAACATTAAAAATTGTCTGCTGCAGAACTGGCAGGAGGCAGACAGACAACATTTCATTTCCTTTCTTGCTAAAATCAAATGCTAATAACTGGGGGAAGCAACAGTCTGGAGGTGTATGACAGAAAGAAAATGACCCTAAAACCTCTGCCTTTCTCAGTGATCCTTCAGTGTAGGTATGGGCAATATTTGAGAGGCTGGAGGCCACAAATCAGATTTCAACTATCTGCCAGGTTCAGGACTTTAATTGATCATGTAATGAGGTCATTCTATAACGGAACACTTCTTGTTTCTATTCCCATCCTTTAAAAAGTTGGACCAAGCCATAACTAGCATAAAAATGAGAAAAATGGACTATTTTTAGGGTGATTCAGAGTGGAAAGTAATTTCAATCCTATTTTTAATTTAAAACAAGCATTCATTAAATCTCAGCAACACAATTTTGGGACATAGGGCGTGCACATTTGTCCTGCAGGGCTATGTACTCCTCTAATTAATGCATGTGTTATTTTCAAAAGCTGACTAATATCTTTGTGTAGAAGCGAGCACACATATAAGCAAAACATATATTCTGCCCTGAAGACCTGTCCAATCCCAATTTATGCTATTTTTTTTTAAAAAGTCACAATTTACATGTTTATTATACTTTTATTAAAAAGCCAGTAGCTTTTTTAAGGGAATCTCACCTTCTCTACTTCTTGCAATGTTGTCAAAAATTGTGCTTTTTGCATTGTTTCTTTCCAGAACTTTAAGACCTTCAGTTTGCATAACAACTTCTCCAATTCACTGTTTTCATCCCGTAGTTCCTGCAACTTCCCCTGCTAAAGAGCATAGGTTCTTTCTATTAGCATTCTCTCCCCAAAATCCTTGCAACAACCTTTTAACAATAAGCATCAGTCTCTGTTCTAGTGAGGAAAGAGATATGAATACAAAACAGAAACTTAAAGAAAGACATGTTAAATTATATGTCATATAATCTCTCTCCATAATACAAAAAAATTCTATGGCTATTCAGGAATACCCAGAGCAATAGTTCAGCTTACGATTAAATTTACAGATTACGATTAAGATTACAGATTAAGATTATGGGGGCAATAAGATGACTTTGTATAAATATACAAAAGTATGAAGGCTATTGCTTAACACATTGTAAGCCGCCCTGAGTCTCCGGAGAAGGGTGGCATATAAATCAAATTAAAAAAAAAAAAAAGTAGACCCTAGCCAGTGGTGGGATTCAAGTAATTTAACAACCGGTTCTCTGCCCTAATGATTTGTTCCAACAACCAGTTTGCCAAACTGCTCAGAAAATTAACAACTGGTTTTCCCGAAGTGGTGCAAACTGGCTGAATTCCACCACAGACCCTAGCATATTCTCTTTTGCATTATAACTGCTCGCAATGAGATATGTATAGAATCAGTCATCAGATTTTTGGTTCTGAATAAAACCTGCAATATCATCTCTTTCTTCCATTCCTGATATAGAGTATATATTTTTCAGAGGTTTTGTTTTCTGATAAAATTAATAATATGAAAAGTTCATTCATAAAGCATCTCAGGCTGAAATTCTAGACATTTAATCTGGGAGTAATGTTCATTGTACTCCGTAGGATTGTGCTTCTGGTGATTCTGTAAATTATGCGATGAGCAAGAACCAGCGTACAATTTATCTCAAGCAATTTTTTTTTACTGTTAAATTCATATTTATATGGAAAACAGGAAGATTTTCTACATTTAAACAATTATAAAAGAAATACATTTTTATCCCCAATAACACCTTTTTTCAATAACCTTTGTCTTCATCACATAATATTTGTATATACCGGTCCATAAAAATTAATAAAAAATGCTAATGAATACATTTTGTTTAGCATTAAATTCATCAGATTCTTGATCTTCTCCCCAAAATAGCTGATGTGAAAGGAATTTAGACTGAGAAAAGAGAAGGCTACCTCAGGCAGAGGTGCAATTCAAATTAGCTCAGCTTTTCTGGTCTCTAAACCTAAATATCAGTATCAATCTCAAAAAGATGTGAAATTCAGACCAGATATATTCTAATTCGTAACACATTATTTTAATGAATGAGAGTCAGACAATATCTGGTAACGATTCAAAAGAAAAAGCCATAGAAATTTGCATAATCCTTATTCAATGTCAGAATACAAAAAATTTCATGTCTACATGCTTTGTTTTGTTAGCTCTAATAGCTGTCAGAGGGATGTCTCTAATGTATGTATATCAAATTGCAATTCTCAGCTTGGTTTTTTTTGACCCTAGGTCATGATTTGTTTCTTTTATTCCTAAGCATTAAGCAAACTAAAGGGCTACCTGAGCCAAATGTTCTTCAAGCGCACTGTTATCCTTTGTAGAGCCAAACTTTTTCTTCAGATTAATAATTTTCTCCACACCCTCTTTTCTCACTTCACTGATGATTTCTGACATTTGTTTGTTCATGCTTAGACGATATTCATCTACTTTCCCCTGCAGCCATAACGCAAAGTCAAACTCTGAATGCCTCTTTTCAAATAAATGAATTTTAAGAAAACAATTCTGTAAGATTTTTAAAATCTGGAAACACAAAAATAAAATCTCCCCATCTTTAACATTATTATTTGTAAAATAAACACTGGCCAGCAACCTAGACATTTCTCCTAATCCCTACCTAGTAATCAAAGGCAACATGAGAAAATGAAACTAATTCATTTCTGGAAAAAGCTTTTTGAAGCCAGCCTTCCATTAAATAAAAACCAAATTTGACATTTCTGTTTGTTTTTATGTCTATGGAGATTCTCAGTCATCCAGGTCATGGTTGTCCCAAAGGTGCTTTTTTCAAGAGGCAACTGGACTTACCTCTTGAAGTCCAGGCAACTGTTGCCTGGACTTCAAAAAAGTCCAGGTGTCTCTTGAAAAAAAGCACATTGGGACTGTTTGTTTTTCCTTCATGTACTGACATTCTATACACTGAGCTCTGAGAAGAAATAAAATGTAATGAATTAAAACAAGACCAGTGACATAGTATGTGGAGGAATTACATTTTGCTTTTTTTTTTTCTTTTGCTAACTGGTATCATCCTTCACTATGGTAATCTGAAAACAACGAGCAAACAATTGATCTTTTCAATGGTGAAGTTCCACTAAAATAAAGTAGCAAGGAAGTTAAATAATTCCAGAAGTAAGGAAAACATGGACAGAATAAACATGGCATATTGCTCTGCTGTCTTATCTTGTCTACACAGGACCTGATCTTTGGAATTTAGCACTTATTCTTGAAAAAGCATAAAATATTGTACTAAATTTCAACACTTTTCTGAAAAAGCATTGGAATAATCTACTTGATTTTACATCCCTCTGTATCTCTTGTACCTACTTTTATTTGCAGACACACCAAAAATATATTTTGTACCAATGCTTCATAATCCTCTTGAACTTCTTTTCTTATCTTTTCTTTGATATTGTGTTCTTCTTTTTGCAGATCAGTAACTTTGGCTCGCAAAGCAGTTATTTCCAGAATCATCTCATGACTCAGTCTAGCTATCTATAAAAGAGGTAGAAGCAATGATTTACAATTTTATTTGTAAACGTAATCTTTCAAAATAAGTCTTTAGAGTATAAGGACACCAGGAGGCATTCATACACCTCCCTGAATAAAAGCACAAAAGTCACAGCCACTAACTTGACTCAGATCCATTTCAACAGCTCCTGTGTTGTCTTCTATGACATGCACTTCCTGAAACAGAATGGAAATGTACTTTTAACTAATTTGGCCTTTCAGAAATTGATACCTTTTCTCCATGTTCAGGACATTATTTTGTTCAAAGAAATGAAGAATCACTTCCCCCTTTTCCTGTTATAGAACCAGTAGCAGGAGAATACCTGTTCTTTTTGATATAGTAGCTGATGTTGCCAACGGAGCAGATTTTCATAGAACATGGAGTAGGTTTCAAAGTTGCTACGTTCTCTGGCCATGACATCACAAGCTAGAGAGGTAAGGCATTTTTTAAAGTGGTCCCTTTGAAAGGTAATCTGGAAATTAAATAAAATCAGAAAATAAACTGGTTTTTATCTCATTGTTACTACTTTATAAATAACTGAATGCAACAATCTGACATAATACTCCTTCCTCCTTCTATTTTCCCCACAACAACAATTCTGTAAGGTGAGTTGGGTTGAAAGGCAGTGACTGGTCCAAAATCATACAGCTGACTTTCAAGATGGAGCTAAAATCGGTCTTTTGGTTTCTAGCCAGGTGCTTTAACCACTAGACCAAACTGACTCTCAGCGTTAGGCAAACACAGTTAGGCAAAAAACAGTGTTAGGCCACATAGGCAAATTTGGTTTCTCCTAGTGCTTCCTCCACAGTTCATTGATAGTGAAGAAGATGTACCAGTGGTGGGTTGCCCCCAGTTCGCACCAGTTCTATAGAACCTGTAGTAAAACCGGCGGAAGGCTCCACCCACCAACCCCGATGTCATCAAAACGCTTCTGCACATGCGCAGAAGCGCACGCATGAGCAAAGCAAGCAAGCGCGCAGCCCCATTGCAAACCAGTAGCAAAGGTAAGTAGAACCCACCCCTTAGATGTACTGCATATATAAAATCCCAAGATCTACCATCTGCATCTAACATGATGATTTTAATTCAGAGACATGAGAAGGTAAATCTGAAACAAAATGCTTGAGAACCTCTACTAGTTGAAGCTGGTGTAATATACGTACCTCTGCATTAATTTCTTGATGATCTTCCATTAGCCTCTGTATAAATGATTCAACTATTTCGGGCCTTGTGACAGAGAACATTTCTTGCATGCTGTGATGCTTCCAGAGTTCTGCAAGAGTGAACAAAAGAGATACATCAGCAATATTCAGATTCATGAAATATGGACCACTGCTAAATGCTACTGTATATGCAATGCTATGACTGCTTTTTAAAAAGTTGAATACTCATAAGGAAGGCAAGGATTTTGCATAAGGAACCCAAAGAAATGAAACCCCAAAGAAAATTGTTACTGTATCCTTACTCCAAGTGCTACAATTATTGTTGGGGAAAAAAAGTTTTCATTCAAGTTAACTTCTACACATACCATGTTATTTTTTTTCTTCCTCTCTTTTACCTATTGTCTTTGTTTCATAAAGCAAAACTTGTTCTTATAATTAATGGATGTTTCTTATAAAAGGTGTCAGCCAGGTCTATGTGCATAGTTAGATATGCATAAACCCTCCACTGCCAAATCCAACAAGGGAAAGGAAAATTCATTAGGAAACAAGAAGTATAATTGCTCAGTGTTTGTTGACTCAAAGTAAACATTAGTCCTCGACTTACAATCATTCATTTAGACTAATTTTTTTCAGACTGAAAAAAGTGACTTATGACCATTTTTCACACTGCGACCATTGCAGCATTCCTATGTTCACACGATCAAAATTCGGATACTTGGCAACTGGTTCATATTTATGACGGTTGCAGTATCGTGTGAACATCTTTTGTGACCTTCTGACAAGCAAAGTTAATGGGGAAACAGATTTGCTTAATAACCGTGTCACTAACTTAACAACTGTAGTTATTCACTTAACTGTGGCAAGAAAGTTCATAAAATGGAGCAAAACTCCCTTAACCATCTCACTTAGCAACAGAAATTTTGGGCTCAATTATGGTCGTAAGTCACGGACTACCTGTACTAAAAATGAATTAATTGTCTGTTGAGTATGATGGCTCCCAGGAATCTCCTAGCATATGCTTAGTCCACATTGTTAACAAGACACCTAAAGATCTGTCCTGAATTTGAAGTATTTTCAGTTATTACCTGTGGGGAGGTGCCTTTCTTCTCTTGCTTTTTCAGATAAAACCAGTGTTATTTCTTTGTTAATTTTCTTTTGTACATCATGGATCATATGTATTTCTAAATTTTCCAAAAGTTTTTGAAACTAGAAAAAAAAAGCAGATTTTTTTTTCTTTTATCAAGAGCAACTAAAGTGATTCAGAGTACTGTGAGTACTTTAAAATTTAAAGTGAGGGTTTTTCAAGGATTACTCCAACTTTTATCCATGAATGTTTGATTAATACTGTTAAGTTAAAAACCATTCAAAAAATTAGTCATCTAAAAATAAAAATATGTGGTGGACATGTCCAGAATTGAGAAATTATTGGATGAAAATTAAAACATGGTTAGAAGAAATGCTACAACAACATATAGATTTAAAATCTGAGCTGTTCCTATTGGGTATCCTACCAGAGAAAATTTAGTAAACACTTATTTGATTATATATATAATAACTGCAGCGAGGATAGTATTTGCGCAAAGATGGAAAGCAGAGAAAATCCCTACAGAGGGAGAAGTAATTAAGAAAACATTGGATTGTGAAGAAATGAATAGATTAACTTTGACAATTAAAGAAAGGGAGGAATCGGAATATTATAAGATATGGGGCAATTTTATTATTGGCTAGAGAAGATATATATATAGGGAAATGTAATGAAATGAGTGAAGAGAAGATAGATAAATGTATTAATAGAAAAGTAAAAAATGTGGGAGAAATGTTATAATAAATGTAATGAAAATATTGAGATATGATAAACATTGGAGAAGTAAGAAGACACAAAAGATTCATTCAGATGATTCACTGAATGACTGATTATGTATTGTATGTTTGTTTGTCTAGTATAAAGTGAAAAACTTTTTTTAAAAAAGTATAAAAATTTAAAGTGAGGGTTTTTCAAGGACTACCCCAACTTTTATCCACGAATGTTTGATTAATACTGTTAAGTTAAAAACCATTAAAAAAACTAGTTATCTAAAAATAATCAAATGAATCACAGCACCTTTTAATAGTAAAGTTGATTTATTATTAATGGAAACATTTGTAAAAATTATAGCTAGCAGGTACTTTCTTCACATTCACAAAACAGGAGGAGGTTGTTTTAAAGGCAATCAACAAACAAAAAAACCCTTACACACATATATATGAAACTAAGTTTTCAAACAAATAATATTTTTGTTCCTGATGCTTTGTTTATTTCATTTGTATAGTTATATTTTGAGTCATGGCCTGGACTGATCCCTGAGTTTTCTTGGCAAGATTTTTGGAAGTGGTTTGCCATTGCCTTCTTCATAGGGCTATAAGTGAGTGACTGGCCCAAGGTTACCCAACTGAGTGTTTTGTTCTGATAACTACAACAGAGTTCCTGAAGTAGCCTGTTATAATTCCTCCCCACCAGCTTTCTGGCAAAAAAAAAAAAAAAAAATGGTCTCAGGTTTCCACAATCATTAAGATGGCAATTTTCACTTACTTCCTCATTTTACATACTTGATGAAATAAAATTTGTCAACCAAATCTTATTTCATAACAGACCTGCTAATCTTTAAGAATCCATGAGGACGTTTATTGGTTTTTCTACAACTGATTGACATAGCTGCCTTTGACAAACTTTTTTTTTCTGTTTCCTGGCAACAGGAAAAGCACAAAGACTCCCATATGTTGGTGGGAAGATTATGGTCACAGGGCTGCCAGGCAATATCAGGTGAAGCGGACCAACAGCATATGTCTGTTTTAGTTTTTATATACACTCTCCAGGGTAAGAAGGCAGAATAGAAATCAAAGAAATACATTTGTTACGAAGTTGCAAGATTTATTTTAAAAAATCCTCTCCAAATACAATATATTAATAAGTTATTTTTATTATGGAAAATAACACTAAATAATGAAGCAAGAATACATGTAGAAATTATAATAGTATCTGTCGGCAATGCATTTGGCCTGCATGTCAGCGTACAACCTGCCTGGACAGATGTTCAGTACACATGTACACAATTATAGATGGCTGTCATTTAAATAAAGGTAGATACTCCCAGCCATTTCTGCTGGAGATAGATCCTGTGGTCCTTTTAAATCAAATGCAAACTTGGGAAAAGCCATAGAGTTGCTGATTAAGAATAGGATCTCTTCTATCTGTGCAGCATATACTCCAATATTAACATATTAGAACCTCCAAAAACCAAGATGAAGCAGAGAAACATTTGTTTCAAGCGGGTTCTATTTCTGTAGAAATAAATAAAATTATTCTAGCCACATATTTTTTTCCAGTCTTGGTTTCTGTTTACAGTGTTCTGTTAAATCCCTGTTCTTTACTGTTCTGAGCAAGTTAAACTGAATTTTGTCACCTTTGAATTATATCTTACTCATGTTCAAAAGACAGACATCTCCTTCACAATATCTTGTGACTCATAATATTATCAGCTATTATAATAATATCTCCTTTGAGATTCTAGCAGAGATCATGTCATTTCTAGCAACCAATGTTATCTTGTAGCTGGATAGAATATTTTCATCTGTGTTTTTCGTATTTGTTGCTGTTTGAACAGCTCTAATTTGTTTCTATTTAAAGTTTTAAAAGAAATAAATTTAATTTTTCTTTAATAAAATTTTATTTTATCTGCCACTTGTAAAATTGACTTGCCTTCCTAAAAAAGAACTGATGCATAGCTTAGTTAGTCATGAAATTTACTGGATGATCATAGATGCTATCTCTATTTAACCTGCCTCACAAGATTTCAATTAAATTAAAATGGAAATATGGAAAGAGAACATAACAATATAAAATATTAATTGTAACACAATCATTGTTATCTATTCATAAGGAAACTCAAATAAAATCTGGCTAGAGATAGACGCCTTCTAATTTGTTAGAGGAAATATCGTTGATATATATGTTTTAATGAACAAACACCAATCTCTTATTTTGCTCTGTCATATCTATTTTACCTGGTGTGTTATTACATCAATTTTTGAAACTTCTTTAGGGAAGAGTGAACATGGTTGGATGGTGCCATATTCTTCAAACTCATCCTCTATACCCCAATGTCTGGCTATGGATCTCATTGCAGCATGAAAGATTTCAGCTCTAAAAAAAATGCAAAGATATATCTCCATACATGGGTTCTTTTGTTAAATAACTTTTTGGTGACTTCAAATGATAGCAATATTTACAAATATCTTCTGTTCATATTGATATTTGAAAAATGGTGCCACTAATAATGAAAATATTTCCATTTCGCTAATTCCATTTGGTGTCAAGTGACTAAAGCAATGGAAGTAAAAGTAAAACTTCACTGGGCCACCAAGAACCTACAGTTTAACCCTGTAGAGGGTTGTAACCATCCATTCCACTAGACTCTGGGTAGCTAACAAAATTCAGAAAACAATAAAAAATAATTAAATACATATAAACAGGCAGCTGAGACTAAAACAAGCAGAACAATAAACCATACTAATATGAGAGGGCCCCTAAAGATACATCATTAATGTCAGCGCTGGAACAGACCAGGTTTTAAAAGCTTTCTGGGACCCCAGGAGAGTAGACATCATTTGTATCTAGGGGTGATGGACTCCCAGAGGGCAGGTTAGTGTGCAAGAGAGACCATGCTTTCTTAATCCCAGAAGATGGCAGCTATTTATGGAAGAGATCTGAAGTGTATCAACTCTGGGTGGGTAGAAACAACAGAGAGATGCTATGGAGGACTTAATAGCTGATGACCAGGATCTTGAATTGCACCCAGAAGCCTACTGGCTTTATTCCCTATAAACAGTGGGTAGATTTCACCAGGCCCCTTCAAGTGCATCGGCCTACAAATCACAATTGTTAGATAACTTAGCAAAGTTGCCATAAACATTTATGAATGAAGTCAATCAAATCACTTCCTTGTTTACTTACCTCATAAAGTTGTGAAAACAATGGGATGCAGTTTAGGAATCTTTTCAGTTAGACTCACAGCCAGTAATATTTCCTCATTCCCAAAATGGGGCAAGTGTAACAGATTAAATACATGATTGGGTATATTCTGATTTTTATTTAACATAGAAGTTCAAGAAAGAAAAGTAAATCAATTTTTCTTTATCCTTATTTAAATGCATACTGTTGTTAAATTTATATTGTTTTACAATTAAATTTAATATAACAAGGAAAACAGGAAAATGAAATATAAATAATGTTTTATTTTATAATCTGCACTACTGAGATTTAATATCACTGAATCTCTAAATTAAAAATAGTTTTACTTTAGGATGTAACTTACTCATACAGTTCAGAAAACTGCTTATACAGAGGAACTGTGTTGATATCTTCAACTTTCAATTTAAGTCTTCCCCATTCTGCCTTTAACATTTCCAACTGCTTCCATTGTATCAGATATGATCTCTGCAAGGCATATGAGGTCATTGTATCAGGGGGTGCTGTTAAAGCTTTTCCTTTTGCTTCAGATGTTGATGTTGCGGAAACCTGATGAAACAATGATTGGAAAATACAAGATCATTTTTTAGAAAGAGATTTTAACAAAACTGTAAAAGCATATTTTTGCCAATGTAACAAATTCAAAAAATTGAATGAATGATTCAAGTCTACAGCTAACTTATGTCAGTCCACATTAATACTCAGTGTCAAAAGAAACCAAAATATACATTGTGTGAATTAACAATTGTAAACTTTTCATACAGTTATCCTTTTTCAATAAAGGAGAATATTTGTAGTTCAGAGCTGAAATGGAGGGTCCTTGGTGGTCTCTGAGCTTGGTTGTTTTCTTGCAGAAAAGACTAGCACTGTTGATGTTACCTAGTTGGGGAATGCAAGAATGCAAGAAAACAACCAAGCTCAGAGAGCACCAAGTAACTCTCAGTTATTCTTATTATATAAAAATTGTCCTGTTACTGATCACTGATCTACTAGTCTCTAGCCTGACATGGTAGTTCAGATTTAAAAAAAAAAAAAAAAGTCAAGCCATTTAAAGATATACTGGCATTCAGTTATATGATTGATATCTTCTAGCAAAAGTTGCCACACGTAATTTTTCTGGAACTTGGAACAATTTTATCATGTAATTAATGCAAGAAATAAAAAAAACTGTAGTGTTAAAGTTCTTTATTTAGTGCTAAATGCAAATGTGGTCAGCCCCAAACAGAACAAGATTTATGCACAATTCCACCTGTTTTACCTTTCTGAATGGTTTTTGCACTTCTTGGTCAATCAGAATTTCAGAATTCCAGAGAACATCTTCCATTATAAACTCTATCCCAATCAGCTCTCCGTGAGCTACTTTTTGATCCTCAGTGCTCAGACCACATAGACATAACTAGAAAAGATGAAATGAATTCAGAACTTGTTTGGATTTTAATGAAAGTAAATCAATCATTGATTCATCTAAGAAGTCACAGTAGGGCATGAAATACGATTATATGGTACCAAGTTGTTTAATTCAGATATAGCAATATAATAGATTTGTTTTAGATGCAATAAATGTGTTTTAATTTCTGTAGTCATCTGCATAGTGTCGGAAACATAAAGAAATATAAGATTACTAAAATAAATAAATAAATAAATAAATAATTTTATTTCTATACCGCCCTTCTCCCGAAGGACTCAGGGCGGTGTACAGCCTATTTAAAAAAACAAAAAACACGACAACAATTTAAAATTTAAAATCATTAAATAATTAGGCTCCAATTAAAATCCCAGAAATTTAAAATACCCCAATTTAAAACGTTATGTTAATAGCCCTGCCTGGCGGAACAACAGGGTCTTCAGAGCGCAGCGAAACACCCGGAGGTCGGAAATCTTTCGTATTTCGGGGGGCAGTTCATTCCACAGGGCTGGGGCTCCCACAGAGAAGGCCCTCCCCCTGGGTGTCGCCAGCCGACATAACTTGGCTGATGGCACCCGGAGGAGACCCTCTCTGTGGGAGCGGACTGGTCGGTGGGAGGCTATTGGTGGCAGAAGTCGGTCTCGAAGGTACCCGGGTCCTAAGGAACAAAAGTCTCATACCTGCATACTGGAATTGATGGGATTTAGGTTGCTTATGGTGTCAGGAAATAGACCTCCTTTTGCTAAGAATGTCCTCCAGGGAAACAGCATTAATGCCTAAAGAAAGCGATAATTGTAGAGCTCTAATATTAAGCCCCAGGCACATGTATATTACCTCTAGTATCTTTAAGTCCAGTTTAATTGAAGAAGTGTGCATTGCTCAGTGAACTGTGCTAGGAAAAAGAGGAACAGTAAAATTCCAGGAAAAATCTCTGTAGACACTTCACCCCTTTATCATCACTGTGAAAACCCCTACATGGGCATAATTTGTCACATTTGCTCTTCATCTTCAGTTACTATCATTTTAAAAGTCTCCTTGCATTGTCTTTTTCTCATCATGTGAGTGCTATTAATAATATTCAAGAGAATAATGTTTTTTTTACCCTGAGCAACTGAGCTTCAGCTAGCTGGAAATGCACTAGAAAGTTATTAAATTCATAGCTGGTTCTCCATGAATGGAAAGAGATACCCATTCCCAACCTGACAGAAAATCTTCAACCTTCCAGGACTCAGAGTATCCTGTGAACACTTGGACAAGTATTTAACATCCTTGCTGTGGCAAAAGGCCAAGCTCTGCTCTTCCAAGCACGATGGAGCAAGAAGGTCCCTATGGAATGTCACAAAAGTCTGCTTGCTGTGGTGGGCAAAGAAAAATTCAAGGGTTCAACCATCCAGAGTTACCTTGTGGTAAGATGGGTGGTTAAATAAATAAATAAATAAATAAATAAATAAATAAATAAATAAATAAATAAATAAATACTAGAGGAAAATTGATATGAACATGAGGAGAAGACTTTGCATAAAGTCTCTTACATTGTCAAGAGAGGTTCTTGGCTTAGAAACAAAATGAGTTAAAGACTTATGTACAGAGCCAATGTGATGTAGTGGTTAAGGCAGTAGGCTACAAATGGGAAAAGTTTTAGTCCCATCTTAGGCACAAAGCCAGTTGGGTGGCCTTGAGCCAGTCTTTCTTTCTCAGCCCTAGGAAGCAAGCAATGGAAAAACCACTTCTGGAATAGAGTATTTGTAGCTAAGGTACAACCCTGGAGTCCTTAGTGCTCTCTGAGCTTGGTTATTTTCTTGCACAGGTTTCATTACCAATTAGGTAATGTAGTTAGGTAACTCGATATTACTGGTAGTTGAGTAAGGAAACATCTGCAAGAAAACAATCAAGCTCAGAGAGCACCAGGAACACTAAAACTACTTCTGAAATCTTCCAAGAAAACTGCACGAACTTGTCTGGGCAGTCACCATAAGTCAACACTGACTTGAAGACACACAGACACACACAGAGAGAATCAGAAAAGCCATATGTGTGAGTTGAAGTTTTACCACCATCCACATTACAATGGTGAAGACCACATTTTTTTATTACAGGAAAATGCTGAAACGAGCTCCCCAGAAGTACAGAGCTATCATAGAAAGAAACCTATTGACTGCCATGAGGGCAGTCAAATGTTTTGGTTCAAAAGCTGCTCTCCACAGATTTGTGTAGTCCTCTGCTAAAATTATGAATTCTATCATTACTGGTAAAACCAGAAATTGCTAATTACAATACCTTTCAGACTGTGAAAAAGTAGGTCAGAAAGATACGCTAGTCCACTCCAGTAGACATTTGCTTGAACTTTTTCATTTTAACACACACACTATCCGTATTTGTACCTTCTATATATACCTTTGGTACAGATGAGAAGCAAAGCACTTCAGCTGTTTTTAATTGTTAAATGCTGAACAGAATTCTTTGGAGAATAGATGAGAGATAAATGTTGCTGAAAGATGTTTCAGAAGTTAAAGGAAATATATCTTGAAAAAGCCATTTTACTCACTCTCTGGCCATGTGGATCTAATAGCTGTGGGATTTGGAGTTGAGAAGCAAATGCACTTCCAAAAACTGCATTACTCATGGGAGGCAACGCGTGGTAAATGTTGTCAGTAATACTCTGATATGCAGAAACATTTCCAGATGATAAAAATGCTTCCCTGAAGGGTTGTTGGAAAAATACTTATTGTTATTGTGAGTTACCCAGAATTGCTTAAGATGGGTGGCCATATACATTTTTAAAATAAATACTGAAAAGACAAATCCAATTTCCAATTTATTCCGCTTAAACATTGTACAATACATTTTAAGTTACTGTGACAACATCTGCCTGAAAAGTGGTCTAGCATTTCCCATTGTTTTATCTCTGAACCCCTACCTACCTACCAGGATGCTGAAGGTGGTCAAAACGGCTTTTCTCATTAAAAACACACTACTTCCTGTTATTCCCATGGAGAAGGAATGTTAATTTCAGCTGGTAATATAATTATGCTCTTGGACCTCAATGAAACCAATTTGGAATTTCTTATTCTTCTGTCCTTTTACTCCAGTTTACACAATACGTTTCCCATGAACATTCACAACTTACACACTTCACCACTGAAGAGACGCGCAGACTTACTCTTCATATGTGATCTTAAATGCATTTTATAAATAGTGTACAGGTTTAATAAACTAAAAAGGTTCCACAACAATCAGTGCTGTTTATTTCATATTGTATTTATAGCTTTCCACAAAATGTAGAAATAAAATACTTTTTATAGCTTCTAGAAGGAAACAAAACAAAAATTCATTTGAATAGATTTTATTTACATCTTTTAAAATTCCTTATTTAATATTATTTAATTCCTTGTTTCTTATTTTACTATTCAAAAATATCTAATCCTAAAATACACACACACACACTGTGTGCAAACATCTTAAAAGAAAATACCTCTGATGTTCTATTTATTTACTTATTTATTTATTTATTTATTTATTTTATTAGATTTATATACAGCCCTACTCCCGCAGGACTCAGGGCGGTGAACAGCCAGATAAAACACATAAATTACAAAATTTAAAAACAGTATAAAATCTGATTAAATAATTTGGCCCGTGACAATTTAAACAACCCTAATGTTTTTAAGACAAAATTAAAATTCATCATTTGAATTATTTTCAATTATTATTGAAATTATTCATCATTTTTCATATATTACCTCATTGAATATCTCACTGCTGCTTCAAATTGAAGAAACTTCACTTCTTTGAGCATGGTCAGCATATGAGACACTTTCTTTGGATCTGAGGAATTTGGAAGGCTGTCTATTTTTTTCTGTATTTCAAGAAGTTCAATTCCTAAAATCAAAAGAAGAGCATATGTTGGTACCTTTGTTTTTTTTTTTTTTTTTGTAATTTCACATCAAATACTTTTATCCAGTTATTACACTGCAGTTCTCTATGAAAAACAACCAAGTTGTTGCTAGTTTGACTTATTCTGACTGGTGTGCTTTTCTCAGAACCTATCAATTTGGTTCAAGGGATTCAAAAGTTCTCGTCTACTGAGACATTCAGACAAATATATTAATCGTCAGGCAAAATCTTGACAGCTCACTTGAAATAATAACTGTCCCATCCAAAATGGGATATACAGTCTATGCTTCCTCCACCCTTTAGTGCCACTCCTCTGGAAAACATGGTTTTTCATTTGAAATGTTTAGTGGACCGAAACCTTGGTGTTCTGCAACTATTAGTACATTGAAAAGTGTAGCTTCATTTCTGCAACTTGTGGGGCAGATCATTCTATTAATAGAGAAAATTATTTCTACTTGCCCCACCTCCCAGGTCTTTGTTCAGTCTACCATTATGGAACAGCTGCCGTGAAGCTGTGGCAAAATAGATCAACTCCTTTTCCAGCGTTCACAACAATAAACAACACTCTGTCCCCAACCAGAACAAATCATATCCCAATATTAAGCAATGGATACTAACCAATCTGCTCAGTCCCTCCCCAGTCTGCTGTGAGATGTTCAGAAGGACACCTGTAATCCAAGCAGCCTGGTGCACTTCCTAGCTGAGCAAAACTGAAAATGTATGCAATAATGTCGTGAAAGGATGCCACGATTTGCAATGTGTGCCGCAGGGCGCTACAGCCAACCTGTGAGAAAGGGGGTTAAAGGACAGAATTTCAGAAAGAAACACAGATCACCAAGCAGTTAGCAATCACAAAATGGAAGTAGCAGCCAGCTCCACCTGGTTTGACCTCATCTACACTGATCATCCAGGAGTCCTTCCATTCCCTCTGCAGAGGGACAGCAGAAATCACAGTTGCTGTAATGGCTTATCTGGGTGATTTGCCATTTTTGAACTGCCCGGCTGATGTGTTATGAGGGCAAACAATACTCCATTTGAATTAAGTCTGTTTTATATCTGATCATTACAAGGACTTTATAACTTTCAGAAGTTACACCTATCTTTTCTTTTTGTTCTATCTCCGTCTGTTGAGATGGCAAGCCTGTCGCGCTTTTATTAAATTGCCAGGCTCAAGGTTGACTCAGCCTTCCATCCTTTCTAAGGTAGGTAAATTGAGGACCCAGTTTGTGGGGGCAATAAGCTTACTTTGCATAAAATATACAAAAGTATGAAGGCTATTGCTTAACGCACTGTAAACCGCCTGAGTCTCCGGAGGAGGGCAGCATATAAATCAAATTTTTAAAAAAAATACGTAAGCCGTTTGGTTATCTATCCAATTCAAGAACAGGTAGAGAAATGCTTTAAAGAAACTGACTGAGGAGATCAAAGTGACACCGATTCAATCGTTCATAAACTGCTGTAATTGCTACCTTTCATAAATCCTCTCCAAACAGATTCACTGAGTGTCCTACTGTCTTTCTATATTTAGTGCCAACAAGCTGTGCTTGAGTTGCCTACTGGTAGATAGGTAGATGAGGTCCACAGCCAGATGAGCTAATTCTACTTGATTGTAAGCTTACATTAACAGAGTCTTGCAGTCTGAAATTATCTCTCTCCCCACATCCCTTTTAACTTAAGCCCAAGAAACTAGGGAGGTTCTCTTCTGAGCCAAGTGCCTGGCCCACATTCCTACTGAAGGCTAAATTGCTTTTATCTGATCATTCCCTTGGCTGCCTCACTTCTCCTTCTATCCCAGGGGCAACTACTATTACAGTAGTTACCAGACAGTAAGCCTGAGTATTTTTTTTTCTGGGTGAATTAAAATTTAGTGGATGAACTTTGTATTTTACTTAGAAATAGTAGCACATCCAATATTTAGGAGTTAACCAAGGTTATTTAAAGTTTCTACTATATTTCCTCGTTTTTTTTCATCTTGTGAATTCTTGCACTCTGCTAAATCACACATGGGCAACCTGTGGCCGCAGATACAAATGAGGTCCTCCGAACCTCCTTTTTTGTAATCCCAAAGCCTTCTTCTGACCATGATTACTATATTATTTCATAAATCATGAGGAGCTAAAGATGAAAATACAAAAGTTACAACAATTGTAAGGTAAGCCCTTAGTCCTATACATTTAAAAAAACAAAATAAACCTTCAAACCTGTCTTCCAAATCCCTGTCCTTCCACATCAGCAATGTGGTCCCAGTCTTTTTGCCACCCTCGGTTTCTCTCAAAATATTAATGCACTAAATTATAATACACTTCAGCAGGATTGATGAACCCTTAAAATGGTAGCATTTTACTTATGATCCCAGTGCATAAGAAAGGCAATTGTGTCTTTTTTAAAAAAATCATAGTGTAAACAATTATGGATTAACATACTGGGTTAACCAAATCTCTTAGGAAACTGGGAGGATCTTCACTGCATTACAGTTATTTATTATGTATGGTAAGAAGCAGTGCAATTTAGCTTCTGTAGCAGTTTGAGTATCACTGCTAGATCTCTGTACAGGAGAAAGGCATGCTTAACGTATGTTCCTTCTATCCCAGATATCATCCAGCAAAGAATAGAATAGAATAGAATAGAATAGAATAGAATAGAATAGAATAGAATAGAATAGGTCACATTAAATGTACACTAATCAGTATACATTAAAATGAAATTTTGTTGCATTCAGCTCTTAAAGGATAACCATTATGCATATACCATTATGCATATCCACACACAGCAGCTGATAAAATATTTGTACCTGCTATCTGCCAAAGGATAGGCCAAAATTTCCCAAAATGGAGCATCTATTAGGTTGGACTAAGTCCATAATTCTGAGTGAGGATAGTTTGCTTTCATAGTATCTCTGATTGTTTATGAGAGATGATGATGAGAGAAAATCTTGCAGAGTATCAAATACCTCACATCTCAGTCATTTTTAAAATCATGATTCCCAATAGAATATTTTTTTTTCCTGTGCTATTCATATTTGCACTCTACTATTTGATCAATCTCAGATCTAGGCTGTTTGGCCAATAAAGAACTTTTTGCAAGATTGTCAAAGCACTGACCTTCTCTGGTAGCATTTTGAATGCAGCTAGGGTTTCTGAAGAGTGAGGGATGAACCACAGGTTCAAGAAGGATTGTCCATCGCTGGACAGCAAGCAACGAGGTCGTGGCTGGAATGACCTGGTTGTTAACAGAATAATTGAATTACTTGTACAAATAAATTCAATGGTACACAGCACCCAAGTACCACTAATTGATATTGGTTTAACCCCACTGTTCCCTCACAATGCTAGTTCTATTCTTTTTGGCACTCCAATCAAGTTGGTAGGGGACCTTGCAAACAAGTTACAAACCTGGGATCACTCTTAACTTTTTCTTTGGATTCTTTTTCATCTTTTTTCTCTTGTGGCAATCCTATGGTAAAGTATTTGTCTTTCACTCTGGGAAAGTCATCCAGCATTGTTTTTATACTGTTATAATAAGCAACGATCTGACTTCGAAGAGAGTACTGAGACATACGGTGAGTCAACCTAAACAGGATCCAAATCTTAATATCAGAAGAATGATCTGCCTAATATTTTTTTAAAAAAAAACAGAGCCTTGATATTCAAATTACCAACTTCAAAAGGAAGAAGTCTCAAAAACTTATAAGTGCTGCTGTGAGATCATAATGCACAGGATTATAACTTTTCAGCCTTAGCAATGGGTAATGGTGGAAGAATGCAGGCATTCATTAATATTTCTTATTGTTTCATTGTGATGGTATCAAGTAATTATGTGACTTCTACATTGGAAAATAATTTTTTTATTGTAAATTTTTAAGTCAACATTCCAGCCTGTGACATATTTCCCCCCCCCCCTCCATTTTTTTTTAAAAAATTCAAGTCACAACACTTATAATATCAGAAACAGTGCAATGCAGATCTAAATTACATGCCCACCTCCGGATATTCTGGACTACACTTCCTGAAATCCCTGAATAGTAGTCATGTTGTTTGAGTTATAATCTGAACTCCATGGAACCGTTCTGTTTCTTTATCTCTGATTCAGCAGCATGATATATGATATCAGTAGCAATAGCTACCTCCTGCTGAGACTCTTTATAACAAAACCAGCACTGCCACAATCCAGACTTCATAGCTTGAATATCAAGACAGTTTCTTCTGCCTTATATATAACACTAAGGTTGATGAATGATTTATTTATATAAATGCTGTAAATATCCAGTTCGTATAATACACATTGAAAGGTTATATAAAGGATTAATTGGGTTTTGATTGTTTCCTGCTTTAACTATTAACAGAATGCTATGTATCAGATATTTCAATCTGTTTCATTTTAGGATTGTATTTACTCTCTCTAGTTCCTCTATAGCCTGTGCTGAATAAAAGTCAACATTGCACCATTTCCTACCATAACATGGGCTGTGGGGAAAAGTAAACATACTACGTATGACTCTTATGGAGAGATACTGCATACATTTCTTGTACTTGCCTGTGACAATATTCAGCAATAACTTCTCTTTTGACTTTTTCAGCTTCATCCTAGAAGAAAATTAATGCCACTTGTTTGTCACCTAAATTGTACACAGTTGTAATAATTATATATGAAAAGGTGTAAATAGAATACCTTGAATTCAAGAGTTAACATATATGAGTGGAAAGGCACCCTTGTTTGCACAACTATTTTTTAAAAAAAGTTAAATATTTTTAAAATATTTTTACTACAGGTTCTTTAGGCGTTATATAAAGTAACGCAATAGTGGCCCTGAATTCTGATTTTTTTCGCTCAGCCCATTCAAGATTTTTTATATTGTCTTGGACCTTTAAAAGGATATTTTAAAGGAAAGTAAGTGATCGTAGTGGAAAGATTCAGGAATTCTCTTAACACTTCTCTGATTCCAATCCCAACCTGATACATTCAGAATTATTTCAGTGTGTTGACGATTTACCCAATCTGATGCCCCAACTTCTGGAAATATAACAATAAATATACAAATAAATTGCATAAATATATAGATTTTAAAATATAAATAGGATTTGATCCTCATCCCTGTTCTCAGAAATATTTTTGTATAACAGTTCCCTCAAATAGCAAAAGAAAAACATGGTCATAAAATCGAGACAATTCATTTAAGTGCCTTGCTTAACAATGGAAATTCTGGCCTCAAATGTGGTTTTAAGTTGAGGACTATCTGTAAGGACAAAAAATATCCAAAAACTTAAAGCCAAAGCTATTATAGTAAAGTTGATGAATAATCCTTTAAAAATTATAATCAAACATTGGTTAATTCTTAAATAATTCCACATACACTTACTGGATTTTGTATTCGACTTCCCAAGATATGTTTCTTCTGAATGAATGTATTCAGCATCAGGTCACGTGGACCCTGTTTCTCCAGCTGAATCGAAACAAAAGCCTCGGTAGGTCTGGAGAATGAAGGAAAATAATGTTACTAAGAAATATTACTGGAATGCAAACTGTATTCATAACAATGGTGGTTGCTCCTGGTTCACCCTGGTTCGGGAAAACCGGTAGCGATGGTGGTGAAAGGCTCCGCCCACCTGCCCAGACATCATCATGCCCAGCATGCGCTGAAGCACCGCACACTACTGATAGCGAACCAGTAGCACCGGGATTTGAAACCCACTACTGACTCATAAGTAACATTTTATTAATTATTAAACTTTCATTAAACTTTCTTTACACATAATGTTGTTGCTTTTCAGGGGGTTTCTTGCTTTTATGAAAAATCTAAAACCATGCATTATATTAACAGGATGAATTAAATTATTAAAATATGTTTAATTAATATGTCAAACTTGGAAAGTTTTCCATTTTCTGCAATATCTATCTATCTATCTATCTTATCTTCTATCTATTTATTAATTTAAATTATACCTTTATTATTTTTACAAATAACTCAAAGTGACGAACGTATGTTGTTTTCTGAACCCCCACGATCTGTAATGCTGGCCCAGCTGCAGTCATGCATTTGGGAATCTTTCCCAACTATGTCAGCATGTTGCTAAATGAGGAGCTGGGATTTCTCCATGGAAAACACAGACTGCCCTTTAAGGCACAAAGCAATAGCACACTTTGAATTTGTATTTGAAGCAGCACTTGCTGTCTTAAGATGCGAGTGTACAGAGTACATTACAAATCAAAATCAGCAGCAGAGCTATTACTATATTCTGGAAGATCTTCTTTCCCTTTTGGAAAATCCCCCCAAAAGGAGTAGAGGAGGGATAGGTTTACTTAGAAGAGTTATTTGGGAGCAACAGCCTTTTGGGTGTAGACTACTGTCTGCAACTGGTATTTAAGTCCAGAAAGAGCATTCAGGCATGAGAACAGTTGCCATTTTCTTACTTTACTATGCCTAGTCCTTTGCTCTACCTAGCCCTAGCCTAAATACCCAAATGCTCTGATCTTTTTAAAATTATTATTTATTGTTTATTAGTATTTATTGTCTCTTTTTCCATCAAGAAGGGATTTTCCTTCGTTTTATTCTTATCCCATGAAATAGGTTACGCTGTGTTAGAAGAACTGTCTATCTGGATTCAGTTCCAAGTGAGAAGAAAGGTACTGGAAACATGGAGACTGCTTGGAAAGATGGTTTAATGGTGTGTAGGACCACCTGGGGTTTTGGGGTCCTGGGCAAAAAAAGAGCACATGGAGTGGAGAGAGGGATATATTTATACACTCTCTTGGGCCCTGCCTTAGAGTTTCCTGTTCCTGTACAAGAAAGGTATCCCATTGGCGGTCAGACTCCCAGGGGGTGGGGATCTTAGCTAACTTTGTAGGCTGTCTGTGCCCCAGGCCTGGTTGAATCTTGCTGGGTGATGATGTAATGAAGGGGCTTTGGGCAATTCCTATTACGGCTTAATGGGTTTGTCTTTTGTGCTGTAGATAACCTGGCCCAGCCTTTTGTCTTGCAAATAACCAAAGTATTTGCTGGGGGCAGGGAGCTGGGGCTGAGTTTCTGTTTTAAGATTTCTATTTTTCTTTTAGGGGAAATATTCTGCCTTTTAATATTTCCTAGAATATTTCATTTTTCTAGGAGAGGGGGGTGCTAACTTCCTACAACTGATAGAGAATTATGGTTCCAAAGTCATCCAATGGTTTTCTGTGGTTGGCTGGGGTGGACCTGTTCTCTCCAGTCCTCATTCAGCACGTTTGCCCCGACACCACAAAGGGTGTGTATGTCATACTAAACTACCTCATTGAATTGCAACCTCCAGCTGCAAATCGCCTAATGGAATGAGACATCAAGACATCCTCTGCTTCACTCCCAACTGTAGAACTTCTTCCATTTGGTGAGCTGTTGCTCTGACCTTTCACACTCAGGTGTCCTTCCTGAAAGAGAAGAGCAATGAGGTCTCTTACTCAGGGAAGCCACGCTGATACCCTCAGACAAGTTGTTGTTGTGGAAGACAACCACCTCTGAGGGCATTTTGAGAAATTTAAATGGAAGATGGCTCATATTGTTATGCTGAATATTTTTATAAAGGGGAGAGAAAGGTCAGTGTAAACAGAGGCCCTTGTAAGTGTCCTGGAATTCAGCACATGCTCTTGGATGCTTGATGCCATCATACGGGCCCTGTTGAAGGACATTTTGACTCTGTGGTTTCAAGTTCTTTAGTTTGGCTTCTTCTAATACTCCCGAAAGAAAAACAAATACAAAAAAGAAAAAAAGAACAAGGAAGCATTAAATAGCCAGGAGGCTGTATAGGTGTGGAGCTGAATAACGTTTTTGAAGGAAGTGCACATATTAAACACACATTGCTTTTTACTCAGAAAATAGCTGTCTAGGAAGAAAACTAGAGATTTTTTTAAGTTCATCTGTTTCTGGAAAAAAACAGGCGCAATTGGAAACAACAACTGCTTAAAATTTAATTTTAACAGAGCATTTTATTATGATCTCCTGAGGCAAATTGTTAGCACGTGCTAAATAACAAGTCTGCTCTGATTTCCATTTTATTCTTTTTTATATTATGCACTTTTCTGAAAAGGATAAACCACATGAGCAAAGAAGGAAAGAGAAAGAAAAAGACAAATTGTTGCCTACAAATCACAACCCTTTTTTTCCCACCGAAAATTCCAATATGGAGCAACGGTTATAGTGTTTGACTTTCACCAAGCAACATGGGTTAAACTTAAAGGCAGATCTTGAAGATTATCCTGGGGAGGGGGGTTGTCCTAATTTTTTCACAGGACGGCTGCAGGAATTAAGAAAAGTGGCAGAGTTTGTATAATACCCTAATCTTGCATAATATGACATACTGTTAAATAAATAAATGCTGTTACTTCCTTATAGGCTATCAATGGCCACTATTCACAATGACAGTATATTATTTCTAGCAGTGTATGCCTCTATAAAAGAATCACCTGTCCTATGATTCTTACATTACTGTATGTCTGCTTACATTATTGCATTGCCCTGGAGGCACGGTAGTTAGAATACACTATTGCAGGCTAACTCTGTCCACAGCCAAGAGTTTGATCCTAATGGGCTCAAGGTCAACTCAGCTTTCCATCCTTTCAAGGTTGGTAAAATGCAGACCCAGATTGTTGGGGGCAATATGCTGACATTTGTAAACCACTCAGAGGGTGCTGTAAAACTTTGTGGAGCACTATATATAAGTCTAAGACCTAAGTCCTATTGCGTGACTGAAGGAAAGAAAATTTCCTGAATCCTAGAAGGGGGAAAGAACAGTACCCATAACCTCACTTTTTATTTTTCTTTGACAATAATCTCCTATCCGAAACAAGAGAAGGCCAGGAGGGTAGCTATGTGTCTAACATTTTCCCAGCAGAATGTAAATATAAGGTCAAACAGCATGGAAGGCAGATAGCAAAGAAAGACTCACTCGTTCCTCGTAATTTTTTTGCTTTTGATTTTTATGGTTTTTTTTTTAAATTTGGTCTTTGAAAGGGAGAAAGAGGGGGAAAAGTTGCCAACCTTTAAGTCTCCAGTTAGTGTGGGCTGTACTGAAGGACAAAATGCAGCCTGCTGAACAGCTACAAGGACCATGTTTTTATGTGTGACTTGGCAAGCAAGAGCAATCTGCAAGTTTTCCAGTCCATACGGCTTCAGTAACAGCTGAAGGATGAAGATAAAGATTAGTGGTCATTATAATGTAACATTGCACACCTACTTCCTTTAGGTTTGACAATGAGGCTATAAACTTGTTTCAGTTGTACAGGTAATCTTCAAGTTACAACAGTTCATTTAGTGACTGTTTGAAGTTACAACAGCACTGAAAAAAGCGAATTATGACTGATTCTCACACTTATGACCATCCCTATGTGGCATCCCTATGAAGTAATCAAAATTCAGATGCTTGGCAATTGACTCATATTTATGACAGTTGCAGTGTTCCAGGGTCATGTGAATATCTTTTGTGACCCTCGGACAAGCAAAGACAATAGGGAAGCCAGGTTCACTTAACAAACCTGTTACTAACTTAACAACTGCAGTGATTCACTTAACAACTCTGACAAGAAAGATTGTAAAATTGGGCAAAATTCACTTAACAAATGTCTCGCTTAGCAACATAAGTTTTGGGCTCAAATGCAATCATAAGTCCAGGGCTATCTGTATTTGTATTCAAGAAGCAGAACTGATTTTTCATGAAGTTTGGAAGCAACAGTATCTAATTCAGAAGATCTCTTAGTCAGCTTCACTCCAGATAACTATATGTGCGTGTAACATTCTTAAGATGCATGTGTAACAATGCCATTATTCCCCCCCCCCCGGTTTATACACAAGCAAACACATACTGTGCATTGACAGACTTTCCAGTCTATCATGTATAACCTTGTCATTTCCAGATAGTCTTTTGTTCTATTATTACCATGTCTGACGCTGCATAGGATTTTCAACATTACCAAAATTAACTACATGTCACCTTCTGTGACAATAGTTTAGCACAAAACAAATTTAATCAAATACCATAGACAAGTAATAATGTTGATCAGAAGATCTCCAGTGAACATACAGAAGCAATCATCTTTTTAGCAATGATATGTGATTGATTAAGATCAGTGATCAATTTTTCCACCCCAGACCAGAGGTGAAATGCTTCAGACCGGATCACCCGATCTGGTAGCGATGGCGGCGGGTGGTTTGGAGAACCGGTAGCAAAAATCCCTGCGCCCTCTCCCCATGCCCAGCTGAGCCACAGGATCATCAGAGGCTTTTTTTTTTACTTTTAAAAGCATTTTTTCTACAATCTCTTCCGACGAAAAAATGCTTTTAAAAGTAAAAAAAAAAAAAGCCTCTCATGATCACGCAGCTCAGCTGGGATAGTCAGAGGCTTTTCAAAGCATTTTTTTCTACAACCTCTTGGCCGAAGAGGTGGTAAAAAAAATGCTTTGAAAAGTTTCTGACAATCCCAGCTGAGTTTCCTGATCGACAGAGAGGTATTTTTTTAAAAAGCCTCTCTGACAATCCCACCTGAGTTTCCTGATCGGCAGAGGCTTTTCAAAGCATTAGAAAAAATGCTTTGAAAAGTTAAAAAAAAAAGTTGGCCACACCCACCCAGTCACATTACCCCCCACCACCAAGCCACGCCCACAGAACTGGTAGTAACAAATTTTACATTTCACCCCTGCCCCAGACCTCTGTTATACCTGACTCCACTCACATAAATTATTTGACACTGAATTTTCCTTGGAACACAAATATCCTTTTTTCTGTTTTGGACAGAGCATTTTAGGGTTGGGATTCACTGAAGTTAATTTTTTTTCCAAAGGCTTCAAAATTGTTGATTTTTGGTATAGTTTAGAACTGTATTTCTTGCTTCAAGATTTGTTCAAAGTCTAGATGCTAAGAGGTCTAAATCTTCAAACTGCAGTTATAAAATATGTTTTATTTATGGGATCTGTATGACTCTGGTCAGAAGTATAGTCATAAACACTACCGGTTTAGTACAAAACGAAACAAATAGGAAAGGGGCAGGAAGAGTAAAATGAAGTAATATAATAGCTTTGAGACCGGAATAAAAAATATTTCAGTTACCTGCAAAATGCTTTCCCTGGTGCAAAAGCTAAATTTTCCAATTTGATTGTCTATATCTTGGATCTCTAACATTAAGTTAGAAGGAATATATCTGCAAAAAAACAACGAACATTGTCTAATTTTTTCAGAAATGAAATGCCAACCCATATATAGAAATTACATGAAAGATTATCCTTCTTCTCATCACAGGTGATTTCAGCTTTTCTTGTTTATGCAGAAAATATATATTTGAACAGTGTTTCTGAAGACTATTTAAAAATTAATCATATTTACAAATATTCCCAACCCAATATTTCAGTTGTAGTTTTCAAAAGAACAAGTGTGGATTGTTTCTTCCATTTTTGGGATGTGCATATCTCTTTATATCAATATCAAATTATATATGTGTGTGTGTGTATTCTCTTTTCCAGTTCAGCTAAATTTCTAAATGCTAATGTCAATTTCTGAAATATGTGATGTAATTAAGTAATTGGTAAGTATTTAATGTAACTGAGGAAAAGATGATAAAGGATGATAGGGGCTCCCTGTTTTGCTCCAAACAGCTCTCTAACTCATGGAGCTGCAAAAATGTTTAGGCTGAAGCACCTATTAATAAATAAATCCCAGAATTCCAGCCTGAGATGCTGGTGGAAAATATTTCAAGTGAAATTTTCTCCCCCCTTTCTCTTACATAGAATCCCATCAAGTTCTCATAGAATCTTAGAGTTTTACAGAATATAGTTTTACAAGTTCTGCTCTAACTGCCCATAATGACCTTTAGGCAGTGGTGGGTTGCCCCCGGTTCTATAGAACCGGTAGTAAAACCGGCGGGAGGCTCTGCCCACCGACCCCGACGTCATCAAAACGCTTCTGCACATGCGCAGAAGAGCACATGCATGAGCGAAGTGAGCACGTACGCGCAGTCCGGTAGTAAAGGTAAGTAGAACCCACCCCTGTCGTTAGGTCAGCCAAAGGCAGTAAGGGTTCATTCATTCATTCATTCATTCATTTTATATAGCCACTTGTCTCATGATTCTGGGCAGTTCACAAACAATTAAAAACAATATAAAAACATCTATATGATACAACAGTTTATTAGAACTAGAGGTAGCCCTAGACTTACAACCATTCATTTAGTGATGATTTGAAGTTTTAACAGCACTGAAGAAAAGTGACTTATGATCAGGGTTCATACTTATGACCGTTGCAGCATCCCCATAGTCACGTGATCAATATCCAGGTGCTTGGCAACTGGCATGTATTTATGATAGCTGTGCTGTCCCAGGGTCATGTGATCATCATTTGTAACCTTCCCAGCTGACTTCCAACAAGCAACATCCAATGGGGGAAGCCAGATTCGCTTAATGACTGAATGGTTCCGTTAACAACTGCAGTGATTCACTTAACAACTGTGACAAGAAAGGTCATAAAATGGGGCAAAATTCACTTAACAACTGCCTTGCTTAGGCTCCATTGTGGTAGTAAGTCAAGGACTACCGATATACCCTTTTAGTTACATAGAAGAAAGGAAGTATTGGATTCTACTCAAGAGAAATGTATGTGGCAAGAAGTAGCTGTTCTATGAGGATTAGAAAGGTTTAAAGAGGGAGTGGGAAGACTAAGATGGCAATTATTCTAAGAAAGAAGGGCAGAAGTAAACATTCTTTTTCTCGCTTTTCTTTTTTCTAATTCTTAATGCTTTCCTTTTTCTTATTTTTCTTTCATTTTTTATACATTTGTTGTATTGCAAAACTCTATCAAAATATTTTTTAAAAGCAGTAGCTGTTCTATATCAAACTGCTAAGTGTATCTTCAGAATGGAGACAAATACTATTAAGTTTGTTGGTGATTTAAATGTTTTTTATTAGGATTTTAAATGTATTGTGAGCCGCCCTGAGTCTTTGGAGAGGGGCAGCTTATAAATTGAATTAAATTGAAATTGAAAATTGAAATTTATGCATGTTTATATCTGCTGAAAACATCTGTAAACCTCTGACTTACCTGTCCACATTAATGTCGTGATCTTCTAAAAGTGAAGCGATGAATATTGGTGAGAACTGGTCAGCCTTCTCTTTGTGAGTTGCACATTCAAAGTACACAGGTCGTAAGTACAAATGAAACTCATTAAAGCCCATTTCTTCTGCAAATTCTTTATACAGTCTAAGAAAAAAAAGAATGTACATATTTGACCTACTTATAGCGGTCACTCTGCTCACACAAAACACACACATTCATTGCCTGTCATATGTTCTTTTGAGTTTCATACCCAGAGAAAATAAATATAGTTTTATAATATTTCAATCCATAATTTCACTTTGTCCACTGCTCAGATCATTTTTGCTGGCATCTCCCACAAATGAATGCTAATAAACCATGTGTAATTTTGTCTATGATTTGATTACTGTGATTCCTGCATCAGGGATTCTGGCTTATTTCTATTGGATTCTTTGCATGGCTAGATTGGCGTGGAATAAGCCAGAGTGCTAGCTTATTGGTTGATGGTTGTTCCCTGCTAAGCCAAGTTGTAGTTTGGGTTGTTAGGAAAAGATAAATAGAAGGTTTTGGTGTATTATATTTGTAATATTTTTTAACTAACGAACATGCCAAAGCAAACAAAACCAGTATAATTTGATTTGCCAAACATATTTAAACAGTATTGATCAAAAGCATTCAACTGCAATTATCAACTATCTACCTTACAGCTCAGGCCGAGTTATCTGCAGCTTCCCTTAAAAATAATGGCTTTTCAGTTGAGTATACTGATAGAGCCAACTATAGATCATGGGGTCAGAAGTTATACTGGGTCAGGATGGAAGAAGAGAAATAGTGATTTCACCGAATTGGACAGGTTAACAATGGAACTTAAAGATAAAGGAGAATCTGAATATTACTCAACATGGGATTTATTGTACAAATGGTTAGATAACAGGTGCAGAGATTAGTAACCTAATAACGAAAGAAGTTCAACAAAATAGAAATAGATACAGTTATATAGATATATATAAGAATAGATATCGTAAGTAACAGTACTATCATATTGTACAGGATTATAGATTAAAACATATAGCATGATAAAGGTATAGAGTGTTATGGTACAACTATGAAAATAATGATTTTTATAACTATGACGTACAACATTATGTATTTAAAAGAGACTATATTGCAGAGGTCTTCAAACTTGGCAGCTTTAAGACTTGTGGACTTCAACTCCCAGAATTCTCCAGCCAGCATTCTGGGAGTTGAAGTCCACAAGACTTAAAGCTGCCAAGTTTGGGGACCCCTGCTATATTGTATGACTACGAGAATAATGGTTATACTAGTATTATACTCAGGGTGTATAATACTATTTGTACTTAAAAAGGACTTGATACATCCAGTGTACTGGTATTGCAAAACTGGAAATGTGATGTATAATAAAGGAAAATGTATAATAAAAATATTTAGAAAAAAAAAGAGAAATAGTGATTTCAATTAAGAAGTTAGTAGTCAATATGATGATGTCAATTGTGATTTGGGAGAATTGAAGAAAGTGGGGGAATTACATCAGCAAGAAAATAAATATTACATTGAAAATGGATTTTGCCATTATACTTTTAAAGATTAAAACAATACTATAGAAAAGATTTAGATTAAATAAAATAAGTGTTGCTGAATTTCAGTACAACTTTCTATAATGGTTTCCTCTGTGTCCCTTTGCTAACCTGCCCAGCTGTGCTCCTTCTACTGCTGTCTCAATCAACCGATGACGGAGGGTTAGAAGTTCAAGGAGTCTTGAAAAGACATTCAGAGTAATAGTTTGCTTTTCTTTGCTCGATCTCTGTTCTTCCTCTGAGACCGATTTCAAGGCTAATGTAACAATTTCTCTTATAATAAGAGGATCCTCAACCAGAACGTCTGCAAATATCTACCAAGAAAGAATAGTATTTAGAGATGTTTAATTCAAATAATGTCAATTGATTGTTGTACTGATATTACGATTAATACATTATTGTTCAAGATATTATTCTGTACCATGGAAATATTTAATTGAAAGATAGGAGAAGAAGGAGAAAATGGAACAAGAACCTTCAGATGACTGAACAAAAGGCAAGTATGACTATGGGAGATGTTCTTTTTTACTTTTAAACATAAACAGCAAATAGTTTCTCTTAAAGCACAAATAGTACCTTGTGCCCAGCTCACAAAGAAAAATGGCTTTACTCCATTGTATCAGTGAAACACTGACGTTAAATTCAAACAATTTTGTATCAATATACCAGTCCTTCCTTATTAGTAATTTACTTACATAGAATCTGTAACAGGTCTATAAAAATTCTGAATTGTCTCTATTAATCCAATCCTATATGTCTACTTAATGAGATTAGGACATTTTAGCAGCAAAAACCCACCCAAATCCTTGTATGTAGAACACAAACATACATCTTTCTGAATTTGAGTGCCATAAAAAGATTCTGGATTTTCCATGGTCATCCATCCATCCAAAGAAAGTTGAAGTATTTGTTCCTCCAAATGAATGGCCTCACTGGCTGTGTTTGGCCTACAGATTTGCTGAAACTCTTGAAGGATATGATCTAGAGCTTTAGGAATTAAAGATACTAGGCCAAGGGAGGAATGAAATTCCAATAAATACATGTTCTTCAGAGCTGTACTTTAAAAGAAAAAAAGAATTAAATGTATTATGAGAGAATAGGATTATTTGAAAATGAACTAATAAAAACTACCCTACCAAAAAAACTAATAAAAACATAACCATAAATGACAAGTAATGTAAAATAATGATTATTCATTCCTCAAAGGAATGAGAAGATTCAGTGATGAACTGGATTAGAAAACAAGCATTCTCTTAATTGAATGTATGACTCAATTTATGTTCTTATTTATCCATATATAAACTTAGCTGCAGTCTTTTAGCTCAGTGCACTATATATATCCATATATACCAGAATGATGATAGTTTAACATAATTATTTTTTAAAATACATTTAAATATTTACTTATATTGTAAATACACAGTTGAAAAGATGACTTCCTTAAGTCTATCCTATGAGAAAACAGAAGAATAGAACTGAGTAAATAAAGAGTAATACATTATTACAAAACGAAAGGGAGGAATAGACATTGTTAATTTCGCCACACAGCAGATAACACAACTAAAAAAGTCACAGATTCTGTTTTGCTTGTAGTTCTGACTTTTAAGGTTTAGGGAGCCTTCCATGTTGAAACAGTCTTATAAAATGCTCTTGAGTCCAAGTACAGTGACATGATCCTGACTTTTTAAAATAATACAATATTACAATTTTTAAAGAAATATTTTAGGGGATAATAAAATATTATAAATCCTAATTGTTTGCATGTCTATTATTAATTTAGAATTGACCCCATTTACATATATGCATGCTGAATTAATTAACACAGAATTAATGCCTTATTATTACTAGGTCTGAGAAATAACCATTTGCAGTTGGAAGAACAGCATAATAAACAATGGGGATTGTTTATAATAATGGGTAATAAACAATGGAATTTGCTTGTGTGACTTTCTTATTAAACAACAATAGCAAACATGAGCTCCATTATAAACCTATGTGCCATATTAGAGAGACAAATGATACTCACGGGCTGTTACTGAGAGCAATTAACTGTTTTGTAACTATATGTGGGGGAAAGCCAAATTCAGAGATACAACCTTTAGGACCACCACGCCAAATTTTATAATTATATTTACGCTGATTCTCTATCTGGGGGGAAAAAATCAAAATAAAAAAAATCTTGTTACATAAAATATAGCAATTTCTGATTTTTAAAAAAAGTTATATCATGACTTCAGTGGTAGAGGAAGCCTGATATAAGCAACTAAAGTGACACATAAACTGAATTTGCTAGATTCACCAGCTTCCATCTGTTTCTTGTCCCTATCCCCATTTTCAATGCTTTGCAGAAACACCACATAAACAGTAAACAGGTATTTACATCTGTAATTGAATACTGGCAGTCAGCATGCCCCGTAGATCACTAGGTCAAATACTAAAAATTGAATGTCATGCATTCAATGGAAAAGATAAAGAATTAGATCCAAAGTTGAGGATTCTGACTTTTACGTAATATGGAAGATATGGTATAATTGGATTGAAGATAGAAAAAAGGGAAATAACAGATAGTAGATTTTGTAAAATTATATAGAGTATAGGAGAATATTAGTGTGATGATATGTAAATGGTCATAGTCATGCACAAGAGTTGAATAAGAATTGTTTAATTGTTAAAACCCAATAAAAAATAAATAAAAATAGATCCAAGTTATCCTGGCTACTCTACTGCAAAGTTCTACTGCATAGAGTGTCAACTTACCTGTCGGTTCATAATATCTCTCACCAAGCAGAGGTGAAGCTTTAGACAAGTGCATTCATCTCTGTAAGTGTTCATAAAATACCCAAGGTGGAAATCAAATCGAGGACGTCTGTACATGATGTTAGTTATTACTTGGGCCAATGTAAATCTTTCTTCTGAATCTAAAGCATGTTGGTATACTTCAAAGTAACTATCGAGAAGCTGAAAATATATTTCAAGCATAGCCAAAACAATAAGCAAGAAATGTTTATTTTTCCTTCATTTTGTTTTCATTTGTTTTTGCTTTCATTTATTTTGCTTTCAATAACGTAAATCTTTCAGTTGAAAACAAATACTTCTGTGTGTGCCACATGTAAATTTCTCAATGAGATTCTCTGCTCCGCCTATATCTAGTGTCTTGCTGTTTCACACCAGTTTTTCAAAAATTAAAATAAATATGTTCAGAACAATAATCCAGGTTAAATCAGAAATATTGGTGGAGTGAGGCAAAGTGCAGGTGCTAAGGAAATAAATAAAGGCCTTGTTTTATGCCATCCAGACTCCCTTGTATCCTGTAAGCCAGACTGTTGCTCACAATAGCAGGAAGAGTGTCAGATGTAAATGCCTTATTCTCTAATGTGTAAATAATGTATATATGGAACATCAGAGGTTAACTTATTCTTTGGACTTTAATGTATTCATAACTTACCACTCCCATTCCTAGCTCCACCCCTTGTATATATAAGGAGCCACCCTCACCATTCTCGTTGCTTCTACCTTGAATATTCAGTGAATATAGAATGCCTATCATAATTAAAAAGAAATATATTTAAAGCTTTAACTTCTATTATCTTTATTGAGTCTGATCCTGGAAATATTGCAACAAAGAGGTTATAATTTCACCAGGGACAAGCAAAAAATAAATCCCAGGCATCTTCTGTATCAAGAATGTTCTTTTGGTGGTCAGCTATGGAGGTAGTCCTCGATTTACAACAATTCATTTAGTGACCATTCAAAGTTACAGCAATACTGAAAAAGTGATTTATGACCATTTTTCACACTTATGGCCATTGTAGCATCCCCATGATCACAGGATCAAAATTCAGATGCTTGGCAACTGACTCATATTTATGACTGTTGCAGTGTCCCAAGGTCAGGGAATTCCCATTTATGACCTTCCAACAAGCAAAGTCAATGGGGTAACCAGATTCACTTATCAACAGTGTTACTAACTTAACAATTGTAGTGATTCACTTAACAACTGGGGTAAGAAAGGTCATAAAATGGGAGCAAAACTCTCTTAACAAATGTCTCAGCAACAGAAAGTTGGGGCTCAATTGTGATCATAAGTCGAGGACTGCCTGTACAACTTTACTTCAGGCAGCAACATTTGGTAGGCTAGACCGCGTGGGGATGAGACTACATAAATACTGTATAATTTTGTAATTTAGGGGAGAAGGAAAATATCCACTATTCCCTCCCTTTTCTTTCTTGTATGTTATGGTTGAAGTGACACATGAATGCAACTCATCAGGTTAAACATAAAAAAGACACACGAATGCACCTCATCAGGTTAAATATTAAAAATCTGAAATAAGGGCCTCCGTTCCTAGATGTAAACAGAACATGAGATTTAATGTTGGGAGCTGCCCAGAGTCATGTATATAGCTGGCGTGCATAAACGCAACAATGTGCCTACCGTCCCTGTCCTAATGTTTTATTTTATTCGTATCCTTTTCATGTATTTATAATTATGTTTACACTTGTATCTGTCATAAAATACATGCTTGATGAAATAAAATAAATAAATAAAAATGTAATTGAGACGGGCAGCCCTATGAATCAATTTAGTAAATAAACCCATTTGGAAATATGAATGATGTGTCCAGTCCAGTGGTGGGATTCAAATAATTTAACAACCGGTTCTCTGCCCTATTATGATTTCTTCCAACAACCAGTTCACCAAACTGCTCAGAAAGTTAACAACCAATTCTCCCAAAGTGGTGCGAACTGGCTGAATCCCACCACTGATCCAGTCCAGTGCAAAATCAGTTGCCCACAGCGGATCTGTCAGGCTCCCACTAGGAAGACTAAACTAAGAAATCAAGGAATTCACAGCAAGGCTAAATTGAGATCGGCTATGATACCAGTATCTCCCAAATCTGATTGTGCTGTACCTCCTCCTCCGTCTCATCATTCAGTTAATTAGGGAGGTATCTGTGTAAGCCACTTCAAATATTATCTGTCTGTTTATAACCTTAAAATGTGTTTCTCTCTCATCTCCACCCTGGCCACCGATCTTGCATATCGCTGTCAAGGTCATCTTTCTTACTTTCTACAGGTTTTGTTTTGTTTTTTTGTCCTTGATTTCTTAGAAGACCAATAAAGCGTGAATATGTATACCTGCCACTTATTTTTTAAGAAATCTGCTTCACAAGTCCAAAGGTCAAGCAAGACTGCCAATCGATCCACTGATGTTTGTGCCCGCCTTGAGTAGCTGCTGCTAGAGGAATCAGGCCCTGCTTTCTGGCCTCAGAAAGAAAAGGATAACACAAAAGACTTCAACCCAGCAAAAACACATTCAAGCAGTCACAAGCACTTGCAGTTAATGATGCCCAAATAAAACATAAGCAGTGAATTTCCTCCCTGTTATCAAGATTTTCCTGCTTCACAGAACTGAACTGAAAATTATCAGGGACACTTACTATAATTACAGATGCATTACAAATAAATGGTGACCCCGAATAACCAGTAAGGTTAAAATTTCAAACAATTAGTGCCTCTGGAGCTACTTCTTCAACAATTACTTTGAAACAACTATCTTTGGTTCTATTATTAGGTTACTAAGTGATTTCTGTTTTGGGCATGGCTGCTTTTTGTGAGAGTTTCTATCCCTCAACCATTGGTAATAGCAGAGATATTTCAGGGCCAGGTTTGTATAAAGGCCTTACCTTTTCCCACCTCAATGTACTGGCTTGCCACAAGCAAAAGATGCTTTTCTGTCTCTTTCAGGTCTTGGAGGGCCACATCATACATTACAAAAGCCCCTCTCTGATCCTGGGTATGAATGTATGCCTCTTCAACAGTGTAAAAATCATCATGGTTCTCCACCTCAGCAAACTCCATGAACTGCACACTTTGGACCTGTGGAGCCATAGATGTTGAAAAGAAAACATCATAGCTGACCAATAAATCCATTACCAAATAGCTGTGGATTTAACAGGTTTTTATCCATTTCTTTCCCACTGGGCCCTCCTCTTCCGATCCATAATCCATCACCCTTTAAATTTAAGGAACCTCTTATTCCTTATCCATTCATCCAGGTTGTAGCTAGAAGGGATAAATTGATATCCATTCATTCAGATACATACTGAAATACTTTTGAAGCGCTGATTAGTTTTTTCCTCTGCCTTTCTAGCAAGAGCTGAAGTCCCCCTCACATAGGATGTGGTTTGTTTGAACTGAGCTTAATGCTAGCTTGGTTTGTAAACCAAGATTTATGTCTTAGCACCATGTATGAACCAAGCCACTAAGTCTTGTTCAACAAATCATGATTACAGATTAGTGGGATGTGTGAACTTAGTTTTAGCATACAGTCTTTGTCTTACGACCATTTGTTTAATGACCATTCAAAGTAACAACAACAACATGTCTTATGACCGGTTCTCATAATGACAACTGTTGCAGTATCTCTATGCTCATGTGATCAAAATTCAGGTGCTTGGCAACTGACATGTATTTACAACACTTGCAACATCCTAGGATCACATGATCACCATTTACAACAGTCACAAGGGGTTTCCATCAAGAAACATCACTGGGGGAAGCGGGATTCATTTAGTGACCATGTGATTCACTTAATGATCGCAGTAATTTGCTTAACAACCACAGCAAAAAAGGAGATAAAATGAACTGCAACTCCCTTAAGGACCGCATCACGTAGCAACAGATGTTCTAGTCCCAATTGTGGTAGTAAATTAAGAACTACCTGTATTTGATACTTGGCTGATTAGAATACTTAAGTTTACAGAATTAAGCCCATTAGTAAACCTTCCTCAAATAAACTTAGACTTGCATGACTAATATTCAGAGAACTGGAAGGTATTCTTTTCTTCCTTCATGCACTGGTTTATGGTTTCTATTTTTGAACTTGCATTCTGACAGATAAGAAGTTTAAGCTCTGGGTGAAAAGTAAAACACCCAGTGAAACCCTACATAATTTAGACGGTCTTGGATTTCAGGTTTAGACTTTACTACTTTGACCAAGCATTGTTATAACTAGATATCAGTCCATTTCTTCTTGCAAATGTACTAGGAATTTTCCTAAAGACAATATACTGGGCCTAATGTTTTATTTTTAAAGATCTATGACTATGAAAATATTCTCTAATACAGGGTTCTCCAGATCCCGGACCGTGGCCCACTACCTGACCTTGACCCATTTGGAACCGGGCCACAGAAATGGTGGGTGAGTACATGCACCCATCCCCACTTGCTTGAGCAGCACCTAAGCCTGTAGGTGCATTCCATTTGTGCCAGCAGCAGGCATACATGCCCGAAGCTTGTGCAAATGGAGATGCGCATGTACGCGTACCCACTGCTCATGCGGAACCATCCCCTCTCCCCCTCTCTCCTGTCGGTCCATAAAGCTGGAAAGGTTGGGGAACTCTATTCTAATGTGACCAAAGCCTCACCTTATAGTCAGCGGGAGTATAATGCATGTAAGAGTGCGAGCTGAGACCCCCAAAGGCGCCAGTGCCTCCTTTGGCTGCGTTCACCCAGCTGGCATCTTCTGCGGTGGAAATCAGATGTCCGCTGCGCGAGGCAAGACCTGAGGTGCTGATGGTCAGAGTTCTTTCAATGGATCGGAAATAGTTGAGGATTCCCAAGCAAATTCTCTGGTATCAATGTCATTGGGATTAAACAATGATGAGTATGATGATAACAATACCAACTGGCAAAAATACACAGCCGCGGGCTTTTATACGGCCCTGTTTCTGTTTCTTAAAAGATTTTATTACCTGTAATTCTCTGATTCTCAAGTGGCGTAAATAAAGGACAGACAAGTATCCACCTTTTCTCGTGGAAAGGTCTTTGCTGGGTGCTTCCAAGTCTTCATCTAAAGCTAGCAGCTCTGAGACAGTCAATTCGCTATTTTTTTTCCAAGAAAGAGAAATTAAATCACATTACTGTAGCTCAGACAGATTTTCTGTTATATCTAAATTAAATAATCTCTTTATATTTCCTCCCTAGAAGTAAATTTCCTACCGAATTCACTTATATGGATGCCTCTGTAGCAGAACAACAATTAGAATGGATGGATTCTGATGCAATCAGATTAAGATAAAGAGAACTTATGAAAAACTATATAAATGCCATTATCATTTATGCTTGTGGAAAGCTTGCTATATCTGAAAATGCCAAGGAGTAAAGTCAAGAAATAGCACCTTCAGCTTTTATAATATTTACAGTATATGATATAAAATGTTTATTCTAACATACAGATAATCCTCAATTTACGGCCCCCAATTGAATTCAGAATTTTGGTCATAAATCATTGCAATTGTAAGTTGGATCACCACATGATCGGATTCAATTTTACGACTGTTTTTACAAATATTTTTAAATGGGTCACCATGGTCATTAAATGAATCATGATTGTAAGTTCAAATCCTGCTTATCCAATATGTGTTTTTTGCCAAAAAGTTGCAAGATGTGACCATGGGATCCTGCAACTAGTCATAAATTGATTGCCAAGCACCATAAATGTGATCACATGACTGCAGGTGTGTGTGTGTGTGTGTGTGTATGTGTGAGTGAGTATGTGGTAGACATAACTTTGATGGGTCATACATGAATTTTTTGAATCCATCATAACTTAGAATGGTAATTAAGGAAACAGTCATAAATCAAGGACTATCTGTATCACTGTCCCATTCTTTCTTATATCATATCATATCATTTATTTATTTATTTATTTATTTATTTTATTCAGTTTATATGCCGCCCTATCTCACAATGGACTCAGGGCGGCTCACAACAATAAAACACAAGCCACAATAAAAATAAAGACTAAAATCGAAAAAAATTAAAATTAACCCATTAAAACCCTTAAAACCCCGTCATCAGACCAGGTCAAGGGATTTGAAAAGCCAAGTTTTTAATTCCCGGCGGAAGGTGCGAAGGTCAGGTGCTAGTCGGAGCTCCAAGGGGAGTTGATTCCAGAGGGTGGGCGCCCCAACCGAGAAGGCTCTACCCCTGGGGGCCGCCAGCTGCCACTGTCTAGCCGACGGCACCCTGAGTAGGCCCTCTCTATGGGCGCGAACCGGGCGATCATACTTTTCTCTTCCTGCCTGACAAGAACTTGGACCTTTAATATTGCTGAAGAACTAATTGTGGACTTGGATAAACAAAGAAATTCAAGAATGAAGAGCTAGTGAGAAAACAGAACAGTATATGCATTTTTATCAGAAATAAAAGTGGAATCTCTGGATGATCAAAGGAAAAGAGAATTTTCAAAGCGGACAAAATCTACCTAAATTCTGTATTCGTACATCTTATCATGGGATAATCGGGGAAGAAAAGTAGGTAGAAGTTTAGCTTGAAGCATTCCCCAAGGGAAGAACTAGAACCCCATTATCACTGGCACTGATGATGTTACCTAGTTTGGTTACGAAATGACTATAAGAAAACCACTAAGCTCAGAGAGCACCAGGGACCCCTACAGTTCTGTCCTGAGCCAGAAATATTCTCTTATATCAGCATCCCAATACTATCTTCAGTGTGAAAGTTGGTGGGGGACTTCACTGCCTACGGCAAGTTCACTTACAGGAGCAATGCAGATAAGTCAGAAAAGTGTACTAGGAACACGTGAAAGAGACATATTTATTGAAGACTGTCTTCAGATTATCAGCTTTTCAATACAGGGTCAGGTGTTAAATGAAAGAAAGATGAATCAGACAGATTGTTGGATAGCTCAGGTGGTATCAGCCATGTATTTTCTTAATATCAAGTAGTAGCTTCATAGAGCAATTGTGCAATGATAAGTAAACTGGCAGCTGTTTTAAATTGCCGCATAAAAGTGCTATGTGCCTGCCCCAATGCACTTCCAGACACATTTTTCCCACATTGTTTTAGAACCCCTTAAACCGCTCTATTATTTATTCATTATAGAAATTTCTAATAGGAAAGGGAAAAATCACAAAACTTCCAGATTACCAAGTGATGCATTATGTACATTATTAATCACTGTCTCTTGCTATATATACAACATTATGTATACAAAATCTGTCTTTCTGTACGTGTGCATGTGTGGGTATAATCTCAACACAAACAAAATAAATTTTATTTTATCGTAAAAGAGGACCTGACCTGGGGCACTCACATTGCAGCATTGGTCAAAAAGGCCCAGCAGAGATTATTACTTCCTGAGATTTCTCAGGAAACAACAACTGAATGAAAAACTGCTGGTGACCTTCTACCGCTGCACTATAGAGAGTACTTTAACTTACTGCATCTGTGTATGGTTTGCCATTGGCAGATAGGACAGAACTCCAGAGGGTCAATGTCATTGCCCAGAGGATCATGGGTTGCCCTCTCCCCTCCTTGGAAGAGCTTTATAGCTCCCGCTGCCTTAAGAAAGTTCAAAACATTCTTAAAAATCCATCTTATCCTGGGCACCCTTTTTTTTGAACTATTACCATCTGGCAGACGGTACAGGTCAATAAAAAAAAGGACAAATAGGTTGAAAAACAGCTTCTATCCCAGGGCAATAACTATATTGAATTCTACAGTATAGTGCAATATCGGGTTTTCAATTTCAATTGTATAGAATGTAAAGCATGTATGTTTGTATTTTTATTTTTATAGTTATAATGTAGACTGAAGACGGCTTTTAATTTCGTTATACCATGTGCAATGACAATAAAGTAAACTATAAACTATAAGCAATCGTTTTTACCTTCCATGTTTCCTCTTTCCTGAAAAAGCGGAACCCTCTTTAAAGTTGAGATTTTCCATACCTTTTTCATCAATTGCCATAATAAGATTGTTATTATTGTCATTCGTTTGCTGCCCCTGCAGATTAAATGTTACGGTCAAATGGATATATGCACCTTTATTTTTCAATGTTACATAAATATGAAATTATTAATACATGGACCTGTAAATAATTTCCCTCAATCTTATATTTACATAACATATGACTTAGGAAAGTGAAAACAGCCAAAATGCAAATCAACTATCTTTACCATCTTGACCATAAAAAGGGAAAAAGGGAAATAGTTTAATACATCCATTAGTTAATGGGGAAGGGGAGAAGTAACAAGTCAATAAAGCAGCATATCTAATTAAAAATTTTGCATGTTGTATAATGTGACCCTGGGACATGGCAACCATCATAAATATATATGTCAGTTGCCAAGCATCTGAATTTCAATCACGTGACCATGGGGATGCTGCAACGGTCATAAGTGTGCAAAATGGTCATAACTCATTTTTTCAGTGCCATTGTATTTTTGAACAGTCATTAAAAGAACCGGCTACTTGATATGGGAGTGTAAGGTTAGCATCCCTTAAAAAATAATAAGCATAACATTTATCTATATGGCCCTTGTATTTAGAAATGATTGGGGAGATCAGATGTCATAGGGCATCATAAAAGGGACATGGCCAAGAGTTTTGATCTCTCTGGATCCACAAGGACAAAGTCTCTGTAAAAAATCCCATACTCTGGTTTCTCTTCAGATTATATAAATCTTTTACTAAAATAAGTGTTTTTTCTGGTGAGACCAGTCTATCATGGCAACCTGGTCTACCCAACTATGGGACATACTGCTTCCGCTTTCACCTTTCAGCCCCAATCCAGGAGCCTTCGCAGGCTGTTCTGTCCCAGCTCCGGATTCCCAAAGATTGTGACACACACCAACGGTCCTTATCAAAGTTATAACGTACCAAGAATAAACAAAGTTCGGCAAAGGTTGCCAACCAGCCCAGAAAACAAGATACGATAAGACACTCACTCTTCAAAATGCTCTGTAATAATTACACACTGTTTCCAGCAAGAAATTACTAACTGCATGCGATTTAAATAGGCTAAGGGAGTGGCCAATTATCCTCAAACCTTACTCTCGAGGAGACCTCCTCCTCCTGACTAGCCACTCCTGCCTTTTGGCAGCTCTGCGTGCTCGAGCATTGAGGAGAAGCTCCTCCACTTTGCTCTCTCCACTTGAAGGAGCCTCTGGAGGTTCTGAAGGCCCAGGTTGAGTCTCTGCCTCTGGCACCACATCCTCTTCAGCCTCCTCGCTGTCTGACGTGAGCGCCGGCTGCACAGGCTGCTGACACGACCCCACACCAGCCTCCTCGTTGTCGGGATCGGCCATGATCTGTGCAGGCCGCTGACAGGCCACAACACAGGCAGTTGCTTTCGCAACAAACAAAATAGTATTGAATTTTTGTGATTTTTTTGCCAAAATGCATTTGTTTCATTTGCTGCCTAGAAAGAACTGTCAGATAGAGTCTCTATTATTACCTGATAGAGTTCAGGATTACGATAAAGCTTTTCCCAGATCTGACTGTAATGTTTCGATTGGAAAGAAGTCATAAAGGCAGATGTCATTGGTGGTGGTTCTAGCATGGCTACCGCTTGCTCCTGGAGAGCCTCCATCACATACTCCAGATTGGAAGCCTAGTTTGACACAACCACATGTTTTAATTTAGGAAAACAAACTGTACAAACCAAAGAACAAAGATCTTGAGGCTAGTGTCAATTTGGTTGCTTGCTTTCTAACAGTGACTGCTGCAAAGCATTTTGGACTTGTAAAGAGTCTTATCTTCAAACTCCGTGCTCTCAGTGTATATATTCTTAAGGAAGTCTGTTGCCATAGGGGTATCACATGGCTTCGCCTCTACCATGCTACACTTTTTAAGCAATTCCTGAATTTTATCTTCCTGAGAGAGCCGAAACCCCTTCTCGGTTTTTACGAATTGCACCCCTAAAAATTTGCTAATGTGACCTAATGGTTTTAAGGCGAAACTCTTACTTAGGTCCTCAGAGAACTTCTTATGCCTGTTCTCTGATCTGCAAATATATAAGATGTCATCAACGTACAACAGTACCGTTTCCCTAATGCCCTGATCTTCCTTGACAAAAACACACTTCCAGCTCTCCTAACAGGAAACATGTTTGCAAGTGAAATATTTCTAGTTAGGAAAAGGAAAGAATGATATTCATAAAAACTAAAGTATGGAAACTGCAAATATATAATATTACATTTATCATATTTATATGCGATCAATTATTATTAGATTTTTATATGTAATACCATGTTTCCCTGAAAATAAGACCCTGTCTTATATTTTTTTTGGACCCCCGAAATAAGCGCTGGGCCTTATTTTTGGGGAGGTCTTATTATTTTGGGGCACGTGGAGGAAACCAGAGGAAATGGCAGGGACCGGCTGCGCATGCATTTAAATATTTTCGGGGAGGTCTTATTTTAGCACATGTGCTCAAAAGCCTGATTGGGCTTATTATCAGGGGATGTCTTATTTTCGGGGAAACAGGGTAATATATTACCATTATGCACTATTAACATTCATAATATTGAATATGTAATCACTTCTACATATTTGCTTGGGGCAGAAATGAGGAGGCTTTTTCCTGGGAGTTGGGAATGATGTGTTAGATATTACACGGAGGGTATATCACAGGGACAGAATCTGTGGGGGAATTTTTCTTTTTATTATTTTTCCACCACTCTCTTCTCTTTTTCTTTTTGCAACCCCTTCCATTCTACCTCCCCCACTTTCTCTCATCTGGGCAAGTTATCTCAGGTAGGAAAGCTGATAGTTTTCTTCTCTGATTGCGTGCAGAGCCTTTTAGAACTAAATTGAAAGGCACTCACTGTTCAGCAGCTTCATGTATTAATAATACTGTATCCAGTTTTGAGAGCCGCACGGCAAAATGAATATTGATAAGATCATTGAACAGAGAATTGGACTCCACAGGAAACAGCTCCAAAAAAGTAGGATCCAGTATCCTGTATGCTTATTGGAATCTGTGCTAAACATCGGTGATCAACTATCAGAATTGGGGGGAGTTAAATTTAACTAATAGATTGGTTGCAAGTCAAAAGTAAGGTTATAGGAATGTCAAAATAGTGTGAAAATCCAGGAGAACTATATTCTCTGCTAGAAAATGTGGAAAGGAAGTTCCATGGTTTTGTAGAATAAACAAGATTCCCCCCATCAGTGATTTTACATATTGTCTTAACACCCCAAAACTTCTGAAATTGTTTGAAGTGAAAGTATCATGTAATATTACTATGCATATTACAAGGAATTTGAGAACGTCATTAATATTCTAAGATGTTACACACCCACCTGTAAATTTTAAAAGAAGTTTCTGTTTACCTGTAACAATTTTGATTGAATTTGTAGCTGTTCATCTACCTTTTTCCACTGTTTAAGTTTTATCAATAGTTTTTGTTGCCATGGATCTTGTTGAGGCTTAATCTGTCAGACAAGATGTAGATATTCAAAGTAAAATAAAGAAAATTTATTTTACTAATCTAGTAGTGGGTGAGAATTAACAATTTTGTATGTGTGAAAAAGAATATTGTGTTGATAGAATATTTGTAGCTCAGGGTTGAACTGTGGGGTTCTAAGTGCTCTCTGAACATGGTGGTTTTCTTGCAGAGGTTTCATTACCAAACCAGGTAACATTATCAGTGCACTGGTGATGTTAATTTGGTAATGAAACCTCTGCAAGAAAACCACCAAGTGCAGAGAGCATCAAGGGCCTTCCACCCTCCAGAATACTGTGCAGTCAATGCTGTGAAAGAAAACTGCAGCTGCTCAGTCCACAATATATCTCCCTCTTCAAAGAGCAACCCTAATCACTTATATCTGAAGCATCTTCTAAGTTTAGTATATAGAAGCATAATACATAAGGTGATGCTCTTGTATGGTTTTCCACGTACAGCTAAACACACAAGACTCATAATCTGTCTTCCTAAATATAATTATATTTAATTTCAGTTTTACTCAGGGTGATTATATAGCAGTTAGCTATTGAGAATTTGAAAATTCAAAAGTTCAGATAGCTGCTTGCGTAGCTTGAAGTTGAAATTTAGTTTTTACCTTTATAAAAGAGGTCCAATTTGCTGTCTTTTTCAAAGTCACGTTGGAGTTCATAATGCTCAATTTTTCTGATCCAGGAGTTCCAGCATCATAAACAGGAAATGTTCTCATTGTTTGCTGTTTATTGAAAATGCTCCTAAATTTATGTTTGACCTGAGGATGTTGGGGAGATCATGCTGATTAAGCTAGAAAAATAATATTGCTTTACGCTGAATTAATCAGTACTAGGATAGAATTTACTTACTCAGTACAGAAACATTATAATCAAGGAAAAGATTGAGTTCACTGAAGTCTTGTTTACTTTAAACCAAATTTAATTTTACCTAGCATAAGGGAAGGGAAGGGAAGGGAAGGGAAGATTGATAGGATTATTATATTCTTTGCTGATGTTAAAATAAGTAATAGTTTGGATTGTTGTTTTTTAACTATAGGCTTTCAGAAAAAAATCCAGACCTGCATTGTACAAGATACATAATTGTTTACTGAAGCATTGGCGAAGCATTGGCCCCCACGGAAAGGGCTCGTAACTTGGGCGTCCTCCTGGACTCACGGCTGTCTTTAGAAGAGCACTTGACGGCCGTGACCGGGAGGATTTTTCATCAGGTTCGCCTGATTCGCCAGTTGCGTCCCTTTCTAGATCGGGACTCGTTACGCACAGTCACTCATGCCCTCGTCACCTCTCGTCTGGACTATTGTAATGCTCTCTACATGGGGCTCCCCTTGAGGTGCACCCGGAGGCTCCAACTGGTGCAGAGTGCGGCCGCGCGGGTGGTTATGGGAGCAACATGGAGCTCCCATGTAACACCTCTCCTGCGTGAGCTGCACTGGCTCCCGGTGGTCTTCCGGGTGCGCTTCAAGGTTCTGGTTACCACCTTTAAAGCGCTCCATGGCTTGGGACCTGGTTACTTACGGGACCGCCTACTACCATCAACAGCCTCCCACCGACCAGTACGCTCCCACAGAGAGGGGCTCCTCCAGGTGCCGTCGGCCAAACAATGTCGGCTGTCGGCCCCTAGGGGGAGAGCCTTCTCTGTGGGGGCACCGACGATCTGGAATGAGCTCCCCCCAAAGATACGGAGGATTCCGGATCTGCGCACCTTCCGCCCCGAGTTGAAGACGCTTTTATTTCATCAAACTGGCCTCGCCTAAATCTTCTCCCTTTTAAGTGTAAATTCTAAATTTTTAATGTATTTTAAAATATGGGTATCTTAAATTATTGGTATTACTTCAGCCAAATTTATTTAATTCATTTTATTCGATTTTAAATTTTGTATATCTATGTGTTTTATCTCATGGCTGTGCACCGCCCTGAGTCCTTCGGGAGTAGGGCGGTATAGAAATTCAATAAAATAAATAAATAAATAAATAAAATATGAAGTTCGTTAATATGCTGTAAAAATCTACCTGCCACCTGTCTATGTTAGAGGTGGTAGGTATCTCCTTGTTATATCTCCCAATACATTTTATCCTGTTGTACAAAATACTTTTAATAGATTGGATTCAGACTTTCACTTCCTATATAACATTCTAAAAGCCTTTGAATTATATAATTTTGTAATATATTTTTAAGCAAATCAATTGCCCACTCACACACATACATATGCTCTGTGCATGCAATGTACACATATGGAGAGAGAAATTCTGTTCCAAAAATATTTCAGCCCAGATTAATTCTATTAAGAAACATGTTCAAATTATGTGGCATGTCAGCAAATCATGCTGTCTTTAAAAACATGGAATGTCTCAGAAGATAGCCACCCCTGACTGATCTTGTCTCATTCAGGATCTAAGTGGACTGGACCTGGTTAATACAATATTTGGATCAGGGGTGGGTTCTAAATTTTTTACTACCAGTTCTGTGGGCGTGGCTTATTTTGTGGGTGTGGCTTGATGGTCATGTGACAATTATTTAGGATTCAGCAGAGGTACTGGTCTACCAGGCTTTTAACTGCTTGCAGAGCTGTACCAATCTACCCATTTATTTTTGCAGGCACTGGTCTACTCATGTATTTTTGCCGGCACTGGTCTACCCATTTATTTTTGCAGGCAGTGATCTACTCATGTATTTTTGCAGGCACTGTCTACCCATTTATTTTTGCAGGCATCGGTCTACTCATTTGTTTTCTTTTAACACTGATCAGCTGTAGGGCGGCCCTTTGAAGCCCCGCGGCAAGAGTTTAAACAGTTTTAGCCATCAGCTGGGACTCAGGAGGCAGCAATAGATTGGGGGTGGGGGCCAAATAAAATGTAAGAATAACACGGGGGGTGGGGGGCGGGGGGCAGAACCAATTCAGTGACATCATATTGTCACCGCTACTGGCTCAGTGGAACCGGGTGGAACCTGGAGGAACCCACTACTGATTTGGATGAGTTAGAATTAGAAAATTTATAAATCAGGAAAGTGAGAAATATTCTAGACAGAGGTTTCTGCAGCAGTGGAAGTAGTATCACAAAGTTACAATGCAAACTTTGCCCCTTTTTGTTTGCATCACAAGACCACATGCGAGTACATAGATGGTAGGGCTTGAATCGTGACGTTGCAATGCATGTTTTCTCATTTTGGCATCATTGTGCCTGGTAGCAAATGGGACTGATTTCAGAAGAAAGCAGTGATAAACCACTTTTATATTTGGGCCAAGAAAAACAGGATAGAAGTATCTATTAAGGCACCAAAATTGAGTGCAACCTGTAGGGAATTTTACTTTTTACTTTGTGTCTGCAGAATTGCAAATAGAGCTGTCTGATCAGTGCATTAAATAGTTAGATAATGGGAACTAATTTACACTAACTCAGAATTTTTTAAAGTTACATACCAGACTAAAAACTAAAAACATAACTGCATTTCATCAATATACAAGAAATAAAAAAACCAGGATTTTTATTACCATGGAAAAAAGTTCCATCTCATTCGCAGAATGTCTCACATTCTCTACATCATAATTAATATCCAGTTGAGAAAGCAGAAGTCTGAGCTGTGGTTTCAGTTGGTCCATTTCTGCAGTGTGTTGGGGAGGTGCACTCTTTGCAACGGTTCCTTTAAGAAAGCAAAATTAATGGAAGAATATAAGAAACATTAGGTCCTCCTGACCAGTGGTGGGTTTCAAATTTTTTTTACTACCGGTTCTGTGGGTGTGGCTTGGTGGGCATGGCTTGGTGGGCGTGGCAGGGAAAGGATACTGTAAAATCTCCATTCCCTCCCCAATCCAGGGGAAGGGTATCGCAAAATCCCCATTTCCTCCCGATCAGCTGAGATTTAGGAGGCAGAGAATACACGGGGGTGGGGCCAGTCAGAATTTTTACTACCGGTTCTCCGAACTATTCAAAATTTCCGCTACCGGTTCTCCAGAACTGGTCAGAACCTGCTGAAACTCACTCTGCTCCTGACTCTCAAGACAATCCCTGCCCTCCAAATCTCATACTATAGGTGGCCTAAACTTTCATTGCTCATTTTGCATGTTGAAATGCCTTCTCAAAATTGTTTGTCTTTTCTGTCTAGTGGGATCTTTAAAAAGGCATAGAGTACAGTTAGGTTGCAAGATTTTCAGTTAGCTGACATTAAAAAACACCCAGGTGTATAAAACCTTAAAATAAACAACGGCACTGGGCTTTTGTGATGAGCATTTCTTATTTGGGCTGGCTGCATGTTTCTCCCTGTTACATAATGTCCTTTCCCTGTTCATTTCCTTGTTAGGGTTTGTACTGGTTTTAACTGTACACGATTAGAGTCGGTTCTAAGCTGAACAAATGAATAGGTAAATAAAGCAAAGTCACAGCATCTCAAAACATGCAAATTTTAAAATGGCAGTGATTGGGAGTTCTGGGATCAGCCCTCATCTTGTGCTGAAAAGAACACAGAGATGGGCCAGGCAAGCACTTTGGGGAGGACAGCCCTAAAGTGGGGTGATACTGGCCGAAAGGCTTTGACCCCAGAAGCTGCCCCTCTTGTAGTTCGTGGTGGAGAAAATTCTCTATTCTTGGGCACATACATCAGGGAGAAGGGAGAAGTCTCCCAGACTAAGTATTTCTCGGACAATTTGCTTGCTTGCTTTCTTGTTTAAAGGATTTGTAAACTGCTCCTCTCACAGTCTGTGACCCCGGAGGATTTACACCAATAAAAATCAGAAAAGAAAAAAAAAGGAAAATAAATATAGGTAGTCCTCGATTTATGACAATTGAGCCCACAATTTCTGTGGCTAAGTGAAACATTTGTTAAGTGAGTTTTACCCCATTTTACGATCTTTCTTGCCACAGTTGTTAAGTGAATCACTGCAGCTGTTAAGTTAGTAACATGGTTGTTAAGTGAACCTGGCTTCCCCATTGACTCACCAAAAGTGAGCACATGACCTCGGGACACTGCAACCATTATTAATACATGCTAGTTGCCAAAAATCCGAATTTTGATCATATGACCATGGGGATGCTGCAACAGCCATAAGTGTGAAAAACAACCAAAAACAATCACTTTTTTCAGAGCCATTGTACTTTGAATAGTTATTAAATGAACTGTTGTAAGTCAAATACAAGACCAAAATAAAGTGAGCAGAAAGCATCATTTTAATCTGGGCCCGAAAATGAGAGACGGCCAGAACACTAAATTCTACTTTGTAGTTTAGTAGCCCAAATGTGAGCCTAATGCAGTTTCTACTGAGAGACATTTTCAAGGTATATTTCAAACCCCAAATATAATTATGTTCCCTGCACAGATGTAGGTCCTTTGCTTTATTGTTTGCTTTATTGTTTCTTGAGTTATAATTTTATTGAGACAAGTATTTTAATTACTGTGCAACAATTTGCTAAAGTTCAATCAAGTTCACCAGAATTTATAGAATTGTAGGTAATCTAATTTGTTGTTTGATGGCTTGGCATGAATAAGGCCTTCTGTGTTCCTACTCTACACTTCACTCAGTCTTTGCTTTTAATGTTTTACTTAATCATCTTCTCATTTAATCTATCCAATTTAAATCTATACTGTATAGATTTTATAAAGTCTATCTGTATAGACTTTATTTAATATCTTCGAAAGAAATGGATTGGAATAATTTGTTACTGAAAGTAAACAGCAAAGAAACAAATCATTTAAATTATCTTTCTGGCTCCATAAAAGCCTATTTTCCTTTGAAATTATAGCCAGATATGAACTGAGTACAGAATCATATGGCCAGAATCCTGAAATGACCTTGGATTGAGTCTAAAGGTAGAATATGCACATATTTGTTCATCTTTGTTAATTCAATCTAAGAAGTAATTGCAATGTTGGTATAATCATACTGGCAGACCTTGATTTACAACCATACAGGAGGCTGCTCATTATGATCATAAGTCTTGAAGGTCGTAAAATGAGACACCCATGAAAGCAACCTGATTTTATGATCTTTTCTGCAGCAGTCATTAAGCAAACTTATTGTCTACTAGGGAATGTTTTTAATCAAAAAATTGGAAGTAAACACTGATTTTCAGCAAAAACATTGTAACCTCATGACCACTGGATGTTTACAAACAGCTGTAAATGTGCCTGAAATGTAGTCACATGATTGTGGGATTGTGCAGCCAGGTCATAGGTATCTTTTGGGGAGTCTGTCGTACCTTGAAACTTGAAATTATAACTAAGCAATTGGTGGTAGGTTGAGGACAACAACATAAAGTAGCAGTAAACCTACTAGAATGGGACTGGGGAGATCCATTCAAAGTTCTCCTCAATAATAGAGTTCCCTAGATAATTTGGGTTTAGTCATTCTCTCTCTTAGCCTAGTCTTACCATTAGAGTTTGTTATAGGAGGTAAAGGTCCACCAACACTATTTTGAATACCCAGAGGATACTCTATCCTGAGGAAATGCTAAATATAAATAGTATATATTTATGTGTATGTATATAGCATGTGTATATGTGTATTATGGTAAATATATACTTTCTCTTGAGAGCAGGCAACAGAATATCTTATCTTATCTTTTATCTTATCTTATCCTATGGCTTATCTTGTCTTATTATCACTTCACCTCACCTTAACTTACCTTACCTTACCTTACCTTGAATCAGTATTTTTCCAATCCTCCTGCTCTAATTTTGAGAAACATGAAAAGACTGGAAAACATGTTCTCTCTAGAAAATTCACGAAGACATCTAGCTCTGTTTAGCAGCTAGATCCCTACGGCATGGTTATTGGGCCAAAACAATTACTTCATACAGAAATCACTGAGGGAAAGAGAAACCCATGTTCAGTCTCTCAACTAATTTTTATAGGCCCCAGAGCCCTTCAAGACTGTGGCTCTCAAATTATACAGATATCATTATTCCTTACCTTCCATGGCTAAAGTGCTAGGGTGGACAGAGACCTGCACCCTGGGAGACAAAAAATCCATTTTTCCAGAAGCTTTAGATTTATCTCCATCACCTTGAAATGAATGTCTGTCAATGGTTACCTCTGTCCTGTGAGAAATAGGCAAGTGTTGGAGTACCTATAGATTTGAGCACATGTTTTACATTCATTATATGTCTTTAAAGCAGAAGGTAGTACACATGTAATTAATAGTTAATTAATATAAGTTACTTTTATACTTCTCCCCAAAGAATGATAGAAACTGTTGTTTCATGGGAAATGGACTGAGATTCCCAGCCTTTGTAAAGAAATATAATTTAGGGAATCCTGCCTAGGACATTTTGAAATATGCTGTTCAACTAAGGTTATTTCTTCTTTTTTTATATTGGTTGGAGACACAAACACCTATATGAGTCTGTTATTTCAGAAAATGTAGGCTGCATCTTGCTATTAATAAAAGAAATATTATTATTTCCTTGGTAGTACAGTGGTCTAAAGCACCCTGTTATTAAGACCAGCTGCCTGCAATTACTGCAGGTTCGAATCTCGCCAGGCTCAAGGTTGACTCAGCCTTCCATCCTTTTTAAGGTAGGTAAATTGAGGACCCAGTTGTGGGGGCAATAAGCTGACTTTGTATAAATATACAAAAGGATGAAGGCTATTGCTTAGCGCATTGTAAGCCGCCCTGAGTCTCCGGAGAAGGGTAGCATATAAATCAAATTTAAAATAAATTTAAAAAATTATAAACTCCAGTTTCCTACAGAAAGGATGTTTCATGTTTTATATACTAGCCCAAGTAAAACAATAAGAATGGACCCTGACTTCACTTCACATCTAGTTATTAAATTCATTCTTATTGTAAGATATTAGGAACTGCAGTTCAGCAGTGTCTGGAGAGTCCCAGACTCCCTATCTATTAGAAGAAAGATAATCTCATATTTCCTTAAGGTCCAATCAATTTATGGTGCACATTTTCATCCTCAATCAAATTTATACCACAGTAAATGCTTTAGCCTACAATGGTTTGAGTTCTTTAGGCCACTCCTTTGAAAAATGTCCATATAAGAATGCAACCTCAGTAGAAACGTTTACAAATCTTTAGTTCTTTATCTACTGCTATCTAATTATAAAATAAATATTGAACTATTTATGGCTGGTGCCTTGCATCTGAAAAAAGAGCTGCTTTTCAAGGAATCCAGTTAATGCTCAAAGGGCTAGATTTGGGGAGGGGATTTGCAAAGGGATCCAGACTTTGTGCTGTCATTTTACATTAATATTGTAATACTATTGGCAGAATGTTAACACAACCTATATAAGTGCCCTGCTGCCTTTAGCAGAAATGTATGAATATTAATTGTGAAATGGGTCTCAACTTCCCCATAACGCTTCATGGCCTCTTTCATCGTAAGCCATTGTCTTACCTGGAGATAGGCATGGATGGTTTTAAGTGAATGCAAATGACATATTAGCCATTGTGTGTAGATCATCAAATCTTCCTGGGTCACCAGGTTTATAGGAATTTCTTTTCCAATCAGAAAGCTCTCTCGTACACTTGAGAGTCTGGCAGACCTTTGAATGGCATCATTATACTCCTGCATAATTTGAGCCACTTGTTTCTACAAAGAAAGGAAAAAGATGGAAGCGGCTTTCTTGTCCCAGGAAGATGAATTAACGAACTACCTAGAACCGTGGTGGCGAACCTATGGCATGCGTGCCACAGGTGGCACACAGCGCCCTCTCTGTGAGCACACGAGCTATCACCCCAGTTCAGCTTCGCTGCGCATGCGCGCTCGCCTCCTATCGGTCAGCTAGTCGTAGGGTCTCTGCTGCGCATGTGTGGGGCGCATGTGTGGGGAGCATGCACATGCACGGGGTGGGGCACATGCGGGAGGCTGCACGTGCATGCGTAGGGGGGCACATGCGCGGGGCCACACACACATTGCATTTTGGGGGTTTGCACATGCACTTTGGGCACTCAATCCAGAAAAGGTTCGCCATCACGGACCTAGAACATCAAGCACCATTATCAAACAATATGATACCTTCAGCCACTTGAGTGCATTCCAACAGCATCTTTGGGGTTTTTGCAAAATAAGTTGATTTGGTGAGAAGTAGCACAATTTCTGTGTTATTTTTTGCAGATACATGAATGTATAAAATATGGTTGCCAGAAACTAAGTTTATCCACAAATGAACAATTTTAAGAATTATTGCACTGAGGTTTATTTATTTATCACCTATATATGGCCATATATCTTTCTTACTATTTTTTCCCTAGTATCCAGACAAAGAAGGAAGATTATATTCTGTCTCTTATTTTCTTAAAGTATTTACAGTTATTTACGGAACTCTGTATAAGGTGACGTTATAAGGTTGTCAGTATATCTAGCACCCAAGGATGATTTAATTTGTTTTCTTGAACTTTACAGAGATTTAGATTAGATAATCCTTGTGGTCCCTTCCTATTCACCGTTCTATGATTCTATCAAAATTGTTTTTTTCTTTAAAGAGGTAAATCATCAAAATTCGCCTGTGCTTATTTAATAAATAACTTAGTTTGTCACAAGGTTGCAGGGTCATATCCTATCTTGTCTTCTCTCTGCCCGACAGATATCTGTCTCTCTTCTGTTTTAACTACCTCCACTTTCTTTTAGCTTCTGGTAGCCTTAGCTTCTGGCAATTCCTTATATGTATTTTACAAGAATAACAAACACTCTTTCATTACAGTATCCTAGACTTCCCTTTTCTACAAGGCTTCAGTTTAAAAAATGAAAAATGAAGCTTCCAAAATGTTAGCAGGGGCCATAAAAAAAATAAAAATAAAAGCAAAGTGCCAGTCTAGTATTATTTTTATTTTCAGGAATGCCTTGAAGACCCACAGATATCCTTCCAAAATTTTGGGAAGTTGTTTGTTTTCATGTTTTTAAATCACCCATCTCCTTCAGAGAGTCAAAAAGCTTGCCTATTGCTATAAAGGTTTTTTTCCCCCTACTTATAAAAAGTGTTTGCTGAGAACTAGAAACATAACTTTGTTGGGGATCAATGATTTCTAAAACTAAATTCATCTCTTTGGCGCCGTCTGAAGCTTCAACAATTCTTCCTATTGGCTGGCCTAACAAAATGGTTAATATCACATTATTGATCCACTGGACTCCTGGTTTTAGAGCCAATCTATACATGAACAGATGCACATATTACAATTTCTATAGTTACTACCTATCCTATAGATATTCTATAAAGATATTCTATACATTCTATATTCTATAGATTCTATTCTATACATTAGATAGATGATTCTATAGAAATTATTTTTGTTGGTAGATTTTAATACTCCCCTGCAAGTTCCCACATATAGAAATAGACATTAATAAGAAGTCAGTGATTTTAGATGAGCAGGTTTTTAAGTTATTATGTAGGAAAATACCATTTTTCTCAAATTAAATTGAACTTACAGAAAATTCTATAGCTTTGCCTCCGCACTTAACAAACATTAAATCATATTTAAGTTCATTTGAAAATAAACATTTTACATTATATTTAACAACTGTGCAAACTTTGAGAATTCATACCTGGTAGAAAGGGTACAGTTGTTCAATAACACTACTGTGCTGACAAAATCTTTTCCATCTTAGCATATGTAAGTATTTGCTTTGGACTAACTGTGGGATCCTGTCGATAAAAAACTTTGTACAAAAATAAAGAGATTTTTTACAGATTAAAATTACAGTTTTACTTCTGAAAAACTATACAGTTTAAATAACTTCCTTGGAATATCATTCGCATACACATTGGCTCATTGTCCACCTCAAACTAAAAAATTCCAATACAAAATATGGGCAATCAGAGGCACAACTTTGAGGAATTTGGAGACTGAGAAGCCATAATATGCCAGGGTTTTTTTGGCGGAAAATTTAGGCTGGGAAAAAACCTTCAAACGTGAAAAAAGCAAACATTACCTGATACAACAACAAGGGTAAGCTTTCGGGTGTATATTCTCTTTTTAGACAGCTATCTAGCTCCCTCTTCAGGACATCAGTCTGAATTACAAGAGGCTTTGCCTCTACAACCTGAGAAAAATCAACAACAGTGTAAAATTATTCAGCGGCATTGAATATAGGTATTTTTATAGTATTGTGGGATCTTTTAAAATTGTAGAAAATGCTGTTTAGTAATCAGAACATTCTAATGACAATTTTGTTATTCAATAAAATAATTACTAAAAATCAGAAATAAGCTTCTCCAGTTGGAATAGGTTTAACAACAGGCAAAAGAGGTATAACTTTTGGACTGTCTATGTTGTGGTATTTTTTTTTATAGTGATGCATTTATTACTTACCTGTAAACATTTTTTCAGTGTCCACTCCCTTTCTCTTCTGAAATAATCAATGTCTTTTGGAAGAGGCACAGAACTATGAAACAGGATGAAATATTATTGTAGCGTAGACCAAAGCAGAATTAGCAATAAAACATATATGAAATGATTTAAAAGCTGCAAAATATATAGAATGAATCTAGCAATAATCACATGGAAACTCAAGCCTAACCCACCATACAGCCTAACCCACCAATATCCACAGACTGAAACTTTCAAGTCAATATTTATTCCCACCTACTCTTGTTAAGAGGGGATGCGGTGGCTCAGTGGCTAAGACGCTGAGCTTGTCGATCGAAAGGTTGGCAATTCAGCGGTTTGAATCCCTAGTGCCACATAATGGGGTGAGCTCCCATTACTTGTCCCAGCTTCTGCCAACCTAGCAGTTCAAAAGCACATAAAAAATGCAAGTAGAAAAATAGGGACCACCTTTGGTGGGAAGGCAACAGTGTTCCGTGCACCTTTGGCGTTTAATCATGCCGGCCATATGACCACTGAGATGTCTTCAGACAGTGTAGCTCTTCGGCTTTGAAATGGAGATGAGCACCGCCCCCTAGAGTCGGGAACAACTAGCACATATGTGTGAGGGGAACCTTTACCTTTATCTTGTTAAATATATTTTTATTTCCAACTATTGGAATTTTTCTGCTAAAATTAAAAGGCCAATTCAGCTTTGTCAGATCTCGTCATTCCCACTTAGTGGAGGGGCTTGGCATACAGATTAATTCATTTTATCAATCACAAGTAGAACAAATATTAGAATACTAATAGAACAAATATGTAGCAATTGATGTGGGGAAATTGACTATTTGAGAAAGTCAACAGCTGTACAACTGCATATTTTGAACAGAACATCATTTTCAGTAGAATGCAGTCAAAACCAGAGATGAGCAGGCTAAGGCCCTAATTTTAAACTGATGCCATAACATTCTCTAAAGGGGGGTCACACAGTAGCAAATACCTCCATGAATTGTGAGAATGAAATGAAAAAAGGTTGGCAAGGGATTACACTGTGGGGTAAATGTCCCAAAGGTGCTTTTTCAATAGGCAACTGGACTTTCTGGTATTTCTTTGAAGACGTTTCACTTCTCATCCAAGAAGCTTCTTCAGCTGATGAAAAGTGAAACGTTTTCAAAGAAAAACCAGGAAGTCCAGTTGCTTCTTGAAAAGCACCTTTAAGGCAACCATGACCTGAGAATCGCCACCTGCTCTGTGTTGGATGATCCTAAGCATTTTCTTGCTAATGTGTGAACTTAAGGATGTGGTATAACAGTTTGCAAACATGGTTATGCCTCCATTCTTTAGTATTGGTATAAAGTCAGTTGGTCGGGATGTCATTCTTCAGATTTGCTGGCATAATTTGCATAGAACCTTTACTGATTCTTCTTCTGTTGCTTCCCATATTCCTATAGCCATTCCATCAATTTGGTAAGCTTCAAATTTGCAAACAACCAGATGTGCTGATCTAATTTAACCTTCTATTGTAGAAGTTCTTCTAAATAGAGAATAACTAAGATAATATGCATACCTTAACTGAACTACAGTATACTCCTTCCATCTTTGTTTGATATTCTGTGAATCAATTTGTGCAGTAACTTTGCCCTGCTAGTAATCTCACTACCGTGTTTTATGCCGGGAATTTCTGGGTTATCTCTAAAGGCAACACCATAAACAAGTTGCAGTAATCTAATGAATTGGATTTCAGTGTGTGAGTCACTGATATCACAACAGTAATTCACTCCTCACATATTGTTTCATAAGTAGATAAACATAGGGTTGGACAGCCTAAAGAATATTGTTTGAAGGTTACATAAAGTGTGCTGGAATTATTAAAATCAAATATGCTGCAGAGAAATATACGATTGACTGGCATATATCATTGTTCAGCTGTTCTTTCTGAAATTAAGCCTATATTTATAATGTGATTTTTAAATTTGTTTCTACTTATATGGCCACCATAATAATTAAAAACAAATGTAAAAAAAACCCTTAAAGGTATTATTAAGTCATTGATGCTTTTTCTTCTTTCCTTCAAGGCTGGTCCCAGTTGATGTTGATGGGGAGGGGACAGGATTTCAGCCCTTCAAGGTAGTCCAGACAGAAAGGGCCAACTATGACTATTAACATTACCTTTTGTAAGGTTAGGGTAACAGAATCTTGAAAATCTGAAAATACATTTCTCTCCCTCTTTTCTTTACTGTCCAACAAGCCAAGGTGGGTCACTTCTGAGACATTTTCAAAGTTCCTATTCCTTCTGTGGGCTCAGCTACCTCTTATCTGACCATCACCTAAGTAGGCTGCAGCTCTTCCTCTTCCTCCTCTCTCTCAAGGACATTATGACAGATCATAACAGCTATCAAGAACAAGGATGGATGTATTGCCTCTATCCTGCTCTTATCTAGGTCATCTAAAAGCACAATAAATGCTTTATGGTCCCATTCCTAGGCCTGAATCCTGAATGAAAGGGATCCAAATAATCCATTTCCACCAGAGTTCTCTGGAGCTGCTGTTCACAACCACCTTTTCTATTACTTCCCCTAAAAAAAATGTCCAGCATCATTGGGTCTACTGATGGCTTAATGTAGACAGGTGACCAAGCTAACTGCCATGAGAATCCTGTTCACTTCATCAATAGGGTCAACCTCCTCCCAAATAACTGAGCAAGACTGAACCCAACATAGGACCTGTTACAAGGCTAAAGTCCAACCTAGAACAAACTGACTTTATTCCACAGATGCCCAATACATTCCTCACAATGATTTTACAGGAAGACCTTTGAACAACCTTGCCCAAGAATGGGAAGGAGCTGCATTGGAGCAAAGGTATGTGGCCCTTTACGAAACAGCTATGGTCCTAAATAAAAAATGATGTTTTTACCAATGTGGAGTTCCCTGTAAGATCCCATTTCCTTCAATTTCTGTCTTCAGTTCAGCCAGCTGCACAGCTAATTCTTTCTCTACCTGTTGGACTCTTTCAGTTGAAGAGATCTTATAAGTTTCATCCATTTGGTCTTGTAACATAAAGAGAAAGTGTAGATAAAATTATATTCAATTTTCAACAATACGGTTTCATAACAAAGCATTTTAGGAGTAAGTGTATAAATATAATGCACAGAAACCAAAATAAGGTATAATGTATGATGCATATTTGTTTCATTTCTGGTTTGAGGACAAAAGAACCAGCAGAAGTATAAGCTCTGCATATCTTCTAGCTGTAATTCAAGCTTCTTTTATGTCACCAATATAATAGGAAAGAGAAGATGATCTGCAAATTATTCTTTAGCCTTTTCCTGGTTCACTTATTGAAAGCATCTACACCCCAATACCCAGAAATTGGTTATTGGTTGATAGTGCTAACTACTAAAACATCACTTTAGTTTATTCTGACCAAGCTGAAAGCTAATTATTACCTCCATTAGTGTAAGATATTTATTCATTTATTTGTTAAATTTCTAGGCTGCATCCCTCCCAATAATTCAGGGCAACTTTACAAAATGAAAAACAAGACATAACAAACAACAATATCCATTAAAAGAGCACCTATTCAGAGATCAAATATACCCATCATACAGTGTTTACACAAACACGGATAAGGTATTTTCATGTTTTACTAACTGGGTCCACACATCATTATTATTGGTTTTACAACAGCTCACTGAATAAGGCATAATTTAGCAAGATTGTGCAAATTATAATCCATAAAATATGGTTTATAAATTACAATTTCACACATTATGGTAAGACCAAACCAAATGCAATCAATTATGATATATGAACTAGATTCTTGATCATTCTCAGTAAAGCCACATTTGGCCTCATTAATATTGGATCCACATCAGCAGACTTTATAGCATTATAAAGTGCGATAACATTATAGCACAAAAGAACTTTGAAAGAAAAGAAATATACTTATTCCTGGCCTAGTTAGCCAAACCATTAGCAACTTTGACAGGCCTACAAATTTCTTTTAGCAGTTATATATATGATAGTTTTAGATACTGAGACTGTTATATGTTGCCTATCTGGAATACATCAAGAGATTCCTTGCTGAGTATTACTACAGAATATTTCAGAAAGGTCAAAAACTGACTTAATATATCTGTTGCCTCCAATGTCAATTCCATGACAAATCCTGTCCTCTGCTTGTTCTTTCTGTGGTGGCAATATGCAATGATTTAATTTATATGTAAGCTTTCTTTCAAGAAACTCAAGGGTACAATACATCATTTTATTGCTTTCCATTCCCCCCCTGAAAATCAGATTGTGAGATAGCTAAAAAGATAGTGATTGGTGCAAAGCAGAGTAATAAGGTTAATGACTGAAAGGAATTTGAAACAAGTCACGTCCAACACGGTAATTAATGCAGAACACTGACTGCATTTTTCTAACACTGCTTCACATCTTTGGCTCATTCTGGTGGGTTCAGACAGAAGTCTTTTAAAATGTTTAATTTTTATTATTTTATCCTGACATTTGATATATAATTCAAAGACAGCGAAAACATACCTAATCACCAATATCAAAACAAATCTTTATTACGGTCATAGAACAGTATAATCATTTGTATCAAAGATTTTGATAATTACACAGAATTGTCCATTTCTCCTCTTTGAGCATGACTCTATAGTCTCAGTTCTTAATTAGTGTAGCTTTTATATAGGAACTGGCTCTCGGTGTGATTTGAGTAGCATAAAATATGATCAGAATAAATCATATGGGTTCTAGTTACATAAGCTGCAGCTGAACCCACACAGATAATTTCCTACTGACTTATGGAAAAGCATGTCCCTTTTTCCTGACTTGTTGCCCAAAGTGTAACAACATATCAAATTTGGGAAATGCAATGCAATTTCTTTAGAAAAAGCACTCCATCTAATTAATATATAAATTAAAACTGTGAGGGATTTAAAATGTCTTAAGCATGTCCCTTAAATCAGAGTGACTGTTTCTGCCAAGATATAGAAATGCCTTAACAAAATAATTCTCCCCCACCCCCAATTTCTTATGAAACTTTTTAGTATTTTCTTTAAGCATCAAGTCTATTGTATAACTGATGCTTACAGGATTTTCAAATGCCAGATCACAATTTCAAAAATAATCCATGATCAGTTGATGTCTCTCTCCCTGAAAAAGCCACAGGCATGACTGTGCTAGCCAATTTAGGTAATGAGATTAAGAATGATACCAGCAACCCATATATAAGATTTCAAAATAGACATAATTAATACTAGAAAGCATGCCTGTTCCCCTAAAAGCAAACAAAATTGAAATGACCATTATGATGATGGGAAGGGAGAGGACGGGAGGTAGAGAGAATAAAGAGAAAATATGTTAGAATTTCTTCTCCAATTATCTTAATTTTTTAAGGATTTAAATGATAATTCTAAAAACATAGCATTTAACCTCTTTCCAGAAAACCATTTTTAAAAAATCTTTCTTAAGAGCAAAACTGTGACTGTTCATTTTGATTACTGTAGTACTTTCTTTAGCAGAGCAAGACCTGGTTCTGTATATCAAGGTCTTTCATACGCAGTTATTTTAGCATATGCAGTTATTTTAGCATATGCAGTTATTTTAGCATAAATTAACAAGGAAATGCACTTTCTGGGACAAATAAAATTAAGTTGCTGTTACTTTTGCTCTCTGTCTTGGAACACATAGTTTAAGAGAATACGATACCTGGTCTCAATAGAAAGGTCACAACTTCACAAGCATAGAAGGTAAACAGCTCCTAGCAAAGCAAAGAGCTCAGTTGCGTTATTAGAAATAGTAGCAGCAAACATCTCCCACAGGTTTCTATAGCTAGTGTGATCAAAACTAAAGATGCAATCGAGACGTTTGTCAGAGTGCCTGGTTAGGCTTTGCGGTAACCGTAACAACATCTATACACAAAAGCTGAGGGCTGAAAAAATAACTTCCTGGGCTCCAGTTTCATAGATGGCATGTTGCTCTATTTTAATCAAAAAATGACCAAATAAATAAATGGGGTTCTTTTGCATAAGTGGGAGAAATTATTTTGCTGAGTTCTAGAGACGGTTAAAACCATGTGAAAGGTTAGTAGGCCTGAATGAGACTGTAGGTGCCCAAAACATAGACTTGTGTTTGGAAGTTAGATATCACAAAGCCCTTTTGAAATACTGATTTAAACAACTGCAAATCCACACCATCTTCATACGTTCATTTATTAAGAGCCGGTTTGCCATCAGGTGTTAAAAAAGTAAGAATTGAATATGATAACCATGAGATGCATTCAACTGGTTTCCTTCCCCTGACTATTCTGCTAAAGCACCCAATTTCTCCTCTCTGGAGTGATCGGAGGTGATGTGATCAATTCTTGGGGTGCTAAAAAAGGAGAATTCCGTGAACCCTGCAAACTGCTTGCACCAGATAAATTTGGTTTTTAGTATTTATATTTGGCAGTACCAGAGTTCTTTACTCTGACAAAGATTTCACATACAGTGATGGGGGTGCCTTAGTATGCCCATGTAACACTTCTGCTTTGTAAACTAGCAAAATATGATGGGTGCATAACAATATCAGTGAGAGGGACTTCCGGTGGCACCATAGGCGTTGAAGACGCTCCTTTGTGAGCGCCAGCCCCGCAATTGCGTAAAGCCACTAGAACAGCGCAAATCAGCTATCTAGCGGCTTGGAAACTTTCTCCCTGGGAAAAGGGGAGGAAGAGAGCAGACAGGTGTAGGTAGAGCTCCCCAAGAGCCCCAGGAACAATTCTGGGGCTCGAAGGGTGAGAGCTCCTTGGAAGCCCGACAGAGCTCCGGATGCGGGATGTTTCTGCTTTAAGCGTTGCACCCCTGCAAACAACGCATGGAATAAAACATTGGATTTGGAAGCAGGCTGAGCAAAGCCAGAAGAGATCAGATTTGCAAGTACTAAACTTTAACTCTAAATGTGTATTACTTCCTTCTGAGTTATTAAGGGAAGAAAGTGAAAGCAAGATGGCGATTGAGCTCTAATGGGGTGTGAAAGTGAAAGTTAAAAGGAAAGTTTCGTTTAGTGCTGGCAGCCCCTGTTTAAAACTAGAGATCTTTGCTTTGAAAGAAAGAAGGTTTAAAGGCTAAAAAGACTATAGTAGTTATTTTAAAAAATGATTGATATTATTTAAGGACTGGAAATTTTTGGACCTGGTGGATTTGTTGTTCTGGTTGCTGAATAAATTCAAATTGAAAACTAAAAATTGCCTCAAAACAAATAGACTGTTGCCTCTAAAAGCGCTGGGAGGTCACCAGCTCAAACTTCCAAATTGCAATCTCTCTCTGTTCCAATGGAATCACCAATATTAACACTTGAAATGTTGCAGGAAGCCCTTAAAACACAAGCCTCTGTTACAGAAAAAAAAATTACTTCGGTGTTTGAGGATAAAATTCGAGATGTCGCTGATGAGATGGCTGAAATTAAAGAGTTTATTCAAATTCGAAATCAGGAAATTAGAGAAGATATTGTCATGGCAGTTCAAGGTCTGGCAAGCCATATTGAATCATTAGATGAAAAAGTGGAAGAAATTAAGCAGTCTAATGTGAATTTGGAAAATAAAATGGGAGAGGTTCAGAATAAGATGGAAACAGCAGAGGCCGATGTAACAATGATACAATATAGAGACATGGAATTTGCTTTGAGAATAAGAGGTCTGAAGGAAAATAAGCAAGAGAATTTGAGAGAGATTTTTGCAGAAGCATTTGCACAGATAATGGGAGAACAAAAAGCAACTTTTGAATGGCAAATTGACAAAATTTATCGTGTCAATTCATGGGTCGCCAGACAGAAACATTTACCAAGAGACATTGTAGTCTATTTTACTACAAGGAGGATATGCAATGAAATTTTACAAGCCACTTTTAAAACCAAACTTCAAGTGCAGGGGCAAGAGGTTTTAATACTGAAAGAAATCCCCCCCAAAATGCTGAGAGCCAGAAGGGATTATGACTTTCTGGTGGAAGAACTGAGAGACCGTCAGATACAGTACAGATGGAAGGTTCCAGCTGGACTAGTGGTGAACTATTCAGGAGAAAGATATTGTCTTAATTCAGTGTGGAAGGCAAGAGATTTTTACACCAATGTACTAAAGGCTGGATGCCCACAGTCCCCAGAAGCTAGAAGGAAGACGGAAGCAGAGGGGGCAAGAAAGGGGGGGAAGGAAGAATCGTTGGTACAGGCTCAAAGGGGAGCTTTGATTATTCAAGATTTAATACAACTTTCGACTACTGCTCAAGCTTTGGAGGTATTCAAAAAAATAGAAGAACCTAAGGATCAAAGACAGACCCGAGCGGCAGCCAAGCGTCAAGAAGAATTAAGAGTGCAGCAACTCCAGATGACAACTCAAGAAATTACAAAAACAGAAGCAGTGGGAGGAGCAAGGCCAAAAAGCAAAATGCATGGAGATTTCCAGCAGATGCTCTGGAAGCTTTAGGGTGCCAAGAATGGCAACTAGATTTCTGACTTGGAATATTAATGGCCTAAATTCACCACAAAAGAGGAGAAAAATATTTCATTATCTGAAACAGTTTAAAAATGAAGTAATCTGTCTACAAGATACTCATATTAGAAGGAAAGATCAAAAATATTTAATAAATGCAAGGTTAGGTACACATTTTGTTGCATCTGCTCCAGAGAAAAAGAATGGTATAGTTATATACCTAAAAAAAGACTTAATTGCTAAACTAATTGAAGCAGATGATCAAGGAAGATTCATAGCAATTGAACTTTTAATAAAAGGGGAAAAAATACTTTTAATTGGAGTATATGCACTGAACCAACAACAGAAAAATTTTTACAAGCTTTTACATTCCAGAGTTACTACAATGGGATTATAAATTATGCATTTTATTGGGTGTTTGGAATGGAGTTTTGGACACTAAAAAAGATAAGAAGGGGCTCTTGCAAAATATCTCAACGCGTGCCAGATTGCCAAAATTGTTTTTTGAAATTATGGATGATATGGAGTTGAGAGATATCTGGCGAGAGGAACTCTGAAGAAAAAGATTTTACTTTTTTTTCTGATAGACATCAATCTTTTTCTAGGATTGATTTCATATTAATTACCAATGATCTCTTTTCTAGGGTGAAGAAGACGAAGATCTGTCCAAGAGTTTTAACGGATCGTAGTCCAGTTTGGATGGAATTAGAGTATGGAAAGGGATTTAAGAGGTCTTGGAGGTTAAATGAAAATCTGTTTAGATATGAGGAAAATGTAAAAGAATGTAAAAAATTTATGAAAGAATTTTTCATTATGAATATGCATAAGGGTACATCTATGGAAATGGTTTGGGACGCAAGTAAAGCATATATGAGAGGTATTTTGATATATTTGAATAATAAACATAGACATAAACAAGGGAAAAAAGGGAAGGACTTAGAAGAGGAAATTAAAAAAAAAAAGAACAAGCTTTGATATTGAACCCAGCAGTCAAGAAAATAAAAGAGGCAATTAACTTACTGCGAGGGCAATTTAATATGTTAATGGCAGATCAGGTTGCAACTAACTTGCAATAGGCTAAACATAATACTTTTTGCAATGCTAACAAACCAGGGAGATGGTTAGCATATCTGTTAAGGAAAAAACAAAAGTCACGGACTATAGAGAAAATAGAATATAAAGGTAAAGAGGTTTATCAGCAAAATATGATTAAAAAAGCATTTTTAGAATTTTATACGAGGTTGTATGCTAATGACAAAATTCAAAGTATAGATATAGATATTTACAGAAAGAGAATATTCCTATAATTACAAAACAGCAAAGGGAGGGTTTAAATCAACCGATAACTTCTGAGGAAATTATGTTTGCAATTAAGCAGTTGAAAGTGGGTAAAGCCCCTGGGACAGATGGTTTGACAGCCACTTATTATAAATACTTACAGTTAGAAATGGTGGAACCACTTAAGGAATTATTTACTAATATACAATCTGGAGGAGATGTACCCCCATCCTGGAGGACAGCTTTTATTTCTCTGATTCCAAAGGAGGATCAAGACCACACCCAGCCAAAAAATTATAGGCCTATATCACTTTTAAATACAGATTATAAGATTTTTGCTAAAATACTAGCAAATAGGTTAATGACAGTCATGCAACAAATGATTCATAATGATCAAACTGGTTTTATAAATGGTAGACAAATGAAGATGGTAGAAATAGATTCAGAAACGGAGCTAGTTAAGGACTGTATGATAAAATGGGCACAAAATATTGAAGAACCAATGATGGAAACATGGGAAAAAATATGAGTTAGAAATGTGAAGTTTACGCAAGCCCAAAACTTAAGAGAGAATTTTTATAAAATGTTTTATAGATGGCATCTAGATCCTAAAAAGCTAGCCTGTATGTATCCAAGTTTGCAACCTAAGTGTTGGAGATGCAAATGTGATGATACCATGTATTTTCATATATGGTGGACATGTAAAAAAATTAAGGCATTTTGGATAAAAATATGGTGGATTATCCAAAATATTCTCAAAAAGAAGATAAAATTTACTCCACAGTTCTTTCTGTTGGGTATAATTACAGATTGTACGGTTATAGAGACTAAACTGATTTTAAATTTAATAACAGCAGCCAGACTTTTGGTGGTGCAGTATTGGAAGGAGGAAGACGTACCTACTATTGAAGAATGGACATTAAAAGTAGTGAATTTAGCACAGATGGCAAAAATTTCAGGATACTTGAAGGACCATTCAAATGAAAAATATATATCGGAATGGAGAAGATGGATTGACTATATTCAAAACAAATATCGGACTAAAAAGTTTCAGATAGCTTATGAATGAAACAAAAAATAATATTTTTTCTTTTTGAATTATGTTTTGTTAGTTGAAAGGGG